AATCATCCATTGCTTTTCTATACTGAAAGCTGTTCAGTTCCTTTTATTAGATGCATGATGCGATTAACAACCATACATTCGAATATGGTGGATATAGTTATGTTGCAATTGTAATTATGAACCAGTACATTCCCAGGTCTTAATAACCTAAAGGCCACGCACCTGTTTCCTCCTATTTGGTTGCTACTCCCACTTGGTAGTAGAGTCTTTCTCTGACGTAGTTTATTCTTTGTTGATTGTTCTTCATTCTTTGTTCTTCGTTCTTCAGCAATCACTAATGCATCTCTTCCGAGAGCACAGTTACCATCACAAATGCCATGATCCAAAGGTGCGCATTGCTGCCCACATTGAACATACTATCCTGTTATATTCTGCTGGGGCGTAGCTCAAAACACTCATTCATTTGTCAATGGTTTCTGCGCAAGCCTTCTCATCCACATAGATGCCCGTGGTGACAGATCCCCCCCTCCCAGTATGTACACAGACGGAACAGACCTGACCTGAGTGTACCAAATTGCCACAGCTACTCTCATTAGAAGGCCATACTTGCTACCGAGTGTGATACATATAGTGGATATAGCTTATGCTCCTGCCATGTGTCATTATCAAATGCTTGTACCAGATGGCATGATTCAAAAAGGTTTTATCGGTACACCAGTTTTAGAGAAAGGTCGTACTACTCCCATGAATATGATCAGCCTTGCTATGTCGTTCACTATATCTCACCAAAGCCTCAACTGTGAGTGGATGTTATTCTAGTTCTGGTATTGCACAACTTGTTGCGGGAGTAGCACGCAATACAACACAGTCAGCTGCATTTTTTCCCCGTCTGAATATGAACTGTATGTTCTCATCCAGCGCAGGCCCTGATTAATGAGTGTCTCTGGCGGGTGGCTATGACTAATGCTGTGCTGCTCAAATAGCTATCATAGATTAGCTGGAAGTCGTTTTGGAAGTTGGCTTGACGTCTACACCAGAAAATAACAACTCGTAGTTTTAGTTTGGTGACCATAAGGAGCGTTCAGCGTCACTAATTATTTCTTACAGAACTCTCTCACATAACAGGGATGGTTGTCGCGGTGAGTGTTCACTAGTGAAGATACAATAATAGTGGTGGAGATTACTGGACATAGCAGTTGTGTTGCATCACACCAATGGGGGGAATTGTGTTGATGGCAAGTTTTTGTCCTGGTGTGCTGGCTGCGGAAGAGAAAAGTGAATTTGTCCTTGGCACGTCCCAGGGATGTCTTGGCACGTCTTGGCACGTCTTGGCAGCGACATGACATGTCTTGGCAGAGGTGTTTGGACAGTGGCTGGTGGGACGGTGTGGAGGCTACTGTTGGTGCTGTGTGTACTGTTGGTGGTGTGTGTGCTGTGAGGATACGGGATGCCAAGAAAGTGCGACGTGCGCGTACGGTTCCCCGTAATACCTATCGACTACAGGACTGTTGTGTTTTTTTACTGAACTTTAAGGAACTATCGTGTCTCCATGTTTGCCATGCCAAGAACAATGACAATTGGTCCGGATGTCGGATATACTCTATGATTTACAAAAAGGAGAATTATGAGAAACCCAGCAGACACACTCTGTACCAACTGGACATCTGCAGGCATCTTAGATATCACCATTCATGGCGTAGCACAACATCAACTCTTATTAGGTAGTACTCCACGGTGTGCCTTTGGTTAGCTAATCTTGGTGTGATTTGCAGTTTGTCAAGATACACACGATTTGCCGATCAGAATGCAGCCGCAACGGACTTTACGATTTTCCGCTAACCGGTTCGCCATTTGCTAAAAGTGCATTCACTATGCTATTTATTGCATGCATTGGTGTATCACGGGCGATACTATTTCTCATCTGTAGCTATTCTAATTGTGGTACAAAATGTTCCTTATTACTGAGATCCCCTTCAATAAAGGAAGGTAAGTTTGTACACGTGAATGAATATAAAAGTTGTGCAGCAAGTTTCGTCTGTGCCGGCATTGAGGTTTCGCAAACAAATTAATATTCATGGACCGTGTTTTAGTGTGCGCTGCCTTCAAAAATGGTTGGTTATGGCAACCATAACGATTGATTCTGTTTACGTGTCTATTTTTTGTGTGTTTTTAGATTGAGGGGTTACTTGTTAGTGTAATGGCGGTCAAGGTAAAACCACACCAATTACTATATTATATGTAGACTAACAAACAAAAGCTGTTCTGATTGTCACTTCATGACAATTATTACTCGTAGAGTTATAGGATCTAGTACAGTAGCACCGGAAACTATATATTATAGATTTAGTGAAGCAAATTTCACATCACCCTCAGGAATTAACAAGAAATATACATTATGTCAATCATGATCTATTTTACTGTATAGATCATGCATGATATCGTAACAGAGGTTGCGAAATTGCACCTAATTAATTATATGTTTTAGTTTTATTATTATTTTTCATTAAAAATATATACATTGGAAATTTCCAAACTATAGTGAAAATACACATAACAAAAATCTCATCAAAAGCCATGTGATGTAAACTTTAAACCACACACATTCAAGCATGATTGTTTTGAGATAAATGAGCACAATACACAGTGATGGATACAATCAGAAAAATGACAGCACCAGGAATTTCTAATCATATACATCATTATCACTAATTCATAATACTTCGACCAGTGCAAAAAGTAGCCCTGCCACTGCCGACATAACAATACTAGACACTCTGTTGACAGCACTACCCTGATAAACGGTCCCAATAACTGTTGGATTGACCGGCCTGCTATTTGAAATACTGTTTACAGCATTTCTGCTGGGGGAGCTAGCAACTACATTAGCAGTTGAAATGCTTCCTGAATTCCCTCTGGAACTTGTGTTTGTAACAGATTTGCTGTCTTCTCTACTAGAAGCGGGGGCCAAGTTGGTGCCTGAACCTGAATGTTCATTATTGTTAGGTTGTGTTTCAGCATTACTGACATTTGAAGGAGAGTTCTCCTTGGAAGCCGAGTGAACCCCTGCATTTGGCTTAGAATCGGTGACGATTGGTGATGGCGGTCTAGCACTGGAGTGGAAGCTGTTACTATTAGAGTAATTTGAGCTTACCGTGGCACTCGATGTAAGTTTGTTCATCCCTTCATTATTACCAGCGGAGTTTACCCTATCTATTGTCTTATGACTAGAAGTAGTAGGTTCAGTATAAGTCCAGGTATGACTAGCAGTGATTATACGCCCGTCACTAATCGTCGTGGGCTGACATACAATAATTATAGTTTGTGTCTTATCATTGGTAACAACAGTCGTGGTGATAGTTGTAGAGTTACCTACTGCCAGATCAATTGAAGTTGGGATACTCTTTGTATTAGTTGGACTTTCTGGATCACCTGTATACAAGGAAGAATAACTGTGCATAGAGATGTTGCTTGGTGAGAGTGATGTTGAAGAATTTGAAATAGGAAAGGGATTTGGTGAAGGATATGGTGATGGAGATGGACTTGGTGATGGAGATGGACTAGGCGATGGGGATGGAGATGGGGATGGGGATGGAGATGGGGATGGCTTTGGACTTGGTGATGGCTTTGGACCTGGTGAAAAAGATGGTGAAGGAGATGGGCTTGGCGATGGACTTGGTGATGGAGATGGGCTTGGGGATGGAGATGGTGAAGGAGATGGACTAGGCGATGGGGATGGGGATGGAGATGGGGATGGGGATGGAGATGGGGATGGGGATGGAGATGGGGATGGGGATGGAGATGGGGATGGCTTTGGACTTGGTGATGGCTTTGGACCTGGTGAAAAAGATGGTGAAGGAGATGGGCTTGGCGATGGACTTGGTGATGGAGATGGGCTTGGGGATGGAGATGGTGAAGGAGATGGCTTTGGACTTGGCGATGGACTTGGTGATGGGGATGGGGATGGAGATGGAGATGGGGATGGAGATGGACTTGGAGATGGGGATGGAGATGGAGATGGGGATGGGGATGGAGATGGAGATGGAGATGGGGACGGAGATGGCTTTGGACTTGGTGATGGTGAAGGAGATGATGATAGGCCCGGAGGAGTAGGGGTATAACACGATGAATTTATTGGATCCCAAAATCCAATTTGACAGGATGGTGTTTCTGGGACGTCGGCACATGGCGTAGCAACATAATATATAGTACTAGTAATAGGAAGTACATTAGGTGCCTGCATTGTTGTGATATAAGAAGTGCTGTAAGTAGTTGTGGTATTTATGCTCCTGCAACTGTTTTCATACCCAATGTATGCAGGGCATGACTCACCATCTGGAAGAGAGAACAGAAGCTCAGGAATGTCTGTTCCTGGTTCCGTCGCACCATTTAAGTAATATGAAAAGTCCAAAGCTGCCCTACCATCTCTGTTGTTGAAAAACAATCTTAACGGATAGAAAACCTCTTTCTCAAGAAAAACCTCAACGTCTTTTCTGGTACCCGCCCAAATGTCATATGCAATATAATCACCCAAATTGTTCCTCGTAGCTTCATGCGCACAGCAATCAAATGCATTTCCAGCCCCCAAATTCATAAGCAGCAAGTCGTCAGCCTCCATATGGAAACGATATCGACCAGATTCCTTTGGTTTAAAGTAGCCATATAGAAGCATAGTAAAATTCGTTAAAGTAATTTGGTCGGGGAAGTTGAATGAAGCTGGCAGGTTTGAAAATTCAACATGGCAGTCTTGTGTCCTATGCTCAAAATTCAAGCTCATCACGTTCTGGGCTGTACCAATTAGTTTGTGAGACTCAAATCCGGTTCTGGGGTACTCCGGGTTTAAATAAGCAGGGTCCCAACAATGTGGACCAATACCATGGTTGTCTAAAGGATATTCATATAACTCCATTGACAGTCCTGGCGTCAATTTCGTTCCGAGCAACGGAGAGCAGCCAAGGGGGTAGTCTGATAGTGCCCTTGATGAATCTTCATCTCTCTTGTAATTTTGATACTTTTCAAGACGTGAAGCATCTGCCAGGGATAAGTATAACACGAGTTGGCTAACCAACAATGATAGTGCAATCATTTGTCTTTCTGTGTTATTGATTTTGCTTAAGGTTTAGGAAAATAACATGAAAGATGTTCAACAGATCATTTTCATAAAAAGTGAAAATTAGGCCGGCTTATATATTTTGCTGAGATGTAAACCTTGATCGAAAATCCTTGTTCAATTCTCGAGTAATGCAAGAATGATTTTCAATTGCAAATCAGATCCACTATCGTTTATCTTAAGGTCAATCATACTTAAAACAGAATGAGTTAAAAATAGATTTAATGGTACCTTTGTCAACACCTATGATTAACAGTGAATGTTTCCTAATCTGCTTGATCAAATAGTAGTACGGCCGATAAAAACGCTGCATGCACTTGCTCAGTCAATTTGTCCAACATTACAGTATGTCTCGTTACCAAGAAACAGGTCTATATCGCCTCTATGTACGTACGCATCTTAGATGCTCTAGGAGAAGTTTAAGTAGGTCATGTTAACATTAGGGAGAAGATGCAAATATTGATATATTAAGACTAAAACAAAAGTTCTAGAGCTTGCCTTTAGGACGAATTTAATAATCCGATTTATTAAGGGGAATTGTTATTTAGCAATAATAATATAGAGGAATACACCCTTGGAGCCACTCCTTCTTGTGTCATATAGCTTCCATCCCCCTTCCTACCATTTGTAAGTACACACGCGAAGGTCATACAGGAAAGCATTATTCTATTAAGGCTCTACCTATTCTCTCCTATCGGTAACAAAACAGGTATAGGAAACTGAGCTATAATTGATCAAAACAACATCACAAAACCAAACTGAGTGTTAGCGCGCCTTCTGTGGTCCACAAATATTAATTTTGTCAGCTTCACATAATAATACTCACGTACCCGGCTAATAAAGTGTCTCATAGAAGAGGTGACTGAGAGACACTGGAGTTCTCTGCTATTAGAAAAAGAAAAATTACTGAAACATGGACGGCGAAAATAATCAATATTAATAATCCGCTAGTAATTAAAATTTCGAGTAGCTATTAAACGTAATTTAATCAATACAATTATTACAGCCAATAATTGAAGTTAATAATATATCTAGTATATTACTCATTTCCGTCCCTTTTCTATGCTGTTCCATACACTCTTCTCACACTGTTCTCCCACTGTTCTCACCGTAAACTGTTTGTGGTATGGCAGACGGACCATCAGGGTTCGGCCAGTGTTCACTTTCCTTGTTTCAGTTCATGTTTCATTCACGGCATGTCTATGGTGCTCATAAATGCTATCAGCCTTTCCATACAATAGCAGCAATCAGTCACACTAGTGCCCACCAGAGTAGACCAGACGGCCAGTGGAAGACTCCTCCCTTCTTGCTAAGACAAATGCTCATACCACAGCTAGCACAGCTCGCACAACTGCGAACACACAAACATGCGCACAACTGCGATTTGTCCTGCACAGCTTTTCTTCTCACACAAAAGAAAGACGACACATACAACAAAGGACATGTCCCTCCCACCACAAATGTCCTCAGTCCCACAGACATCTCAGAATGTCGCAGCAATCGCTGAAAACTGTGGGATCGGCCTCGTCGCACAGCACTTCCAAAGTCGCCACCCGCTTCAGCAGCAACACCACTGATCCTTGTCTAGCTATTGGCCGTCTGTACCGTTCACCAAGGATCACTTCCACCGACACTAGTACTTCACCAGTGCTCCCACCAGTGCTCCCACCAGTGCTCACTCCAGTGCTCACTCCACTGGCCTCGACCTGCTCAAAGCGGGCAAGACATAGTTCGTACCACGACCTAACAACACCAATGGAGAAGTCTCATCTATGGGAGGTTCTTGCAACTGTCTGCATTCCACAATCCTACAATGTTCACCTTAACACAAATACTCTATCCATTGCGTCGACCGTCTATACCTATCTGTACTAGTCCATATCTTCATATGCCTGTCCATATCTTCATATGCCTGTCCATATCATCATATGCCTATGCCGTCTTGAACTTTCTCGATCGAGGCATCCGCTACACTATCTCGAATTCAAAACTAGAAACAGAATAAAAAGGAAAAGTGACCGACTCAATGTAGCACATCAGATCCCATGGCCTGTTCTGCAGCCCAAACATGTAGATCGACAACCCTATACATGCGTAGAACTGCACACAAAATTGTCTACTACCACGTACAATGCACTCGCGCTTGTCCACTCACTACGTTTCCATACCGTGTTAAAAAAATTTTCATCATTCGCAGAGCCTACATGGCCACCGTAATACCAGCTAGGAAGCAACCTCATCCTTCTCGCCTCTGCCCTCCTGCCCTCTTAAGCATCTTGCTTCTGTATAATCATGATCGTTGTACACCTCGCCATAACCGCCATAACCGCCATGGCACTACCGCCTTCATTGCTAATCATAACTGCCGCTCCCACAATCTCCCACAATACCATTCCAGCACCCTGCTGTAATATATCCTGGTGACGGCTGTGGCCAACTTAATCTTAAATGCATACAAATCCAAATGGTTAGGAAACCAATTGAGCCTGCAATAGCAACTCTATCCATCTAAGGTTTAGACCAAGACACTACCCAATTGTATCTATCATCCCTCATATGAAAAACCTAGCCTCATACCATCAACATTGGCATCAATATGGCTGTGGTATAATACGCCACAGACATGCACCGCTTCCATTCAAAGCACATATCCCACATAATTCAACGGTAACGGTCTGGCCATACCGGTGACGACTGTCCATACATGCACGACCAGACCATTCCATTGCAGCAACATCGTCATTGTCGCCCCATACCAAAACCTCGGCTCCACCAAGTCATTAACCAATTGGCTATATCCGATATCCCTTTACAGAGTGAATTGAGATTCATATTAGCTCAGGCACGCAACATCCATCGTCTCCGTCCTTTACTTCCCAAATGACTCAACCCAACATCACAATGCAACTAGACACAATCACATGCACACCATTCCACCTAGCCACAGCTCTCGAGAAATCCACACTGGTCTAGTGCACTTGAATGAGATATACACTTTCGACAATCCGCAAAGCAATCATGGTATGATGTGCCGTTGCTGTATCTTTCCACAGCCTGCTTATAACCAGACAGCAATCAACAAAAGAGCGTCAAACCACAAATATATCCATGCACTAATCTTTCCCAATGTCCCCTTAAATCCGGGAGTCACTTGTACCAGTTGACAGTTGATGACTTCACCAGATTAGCATCAATAGCTAGGTCTTGTGTGATGAGTGTCTTGAGCGTATAGAGTATCTCTGTTGTGTAAAATATCTTAATTGCACATTAGATGCTGTTGAATAGCAGAGCCACAGGGTTGCATCCATCTAGATATGGTGTGTGTGCATAATTCTCCCAGATAAATCAACACCAACCATAAACATATCAACACATCATGACTTTGTGAGTATCAGACCCGCTATCAGCAGCTAGTGCTTGTTATTCTACTGATAATAGTAGTGGAGCTATCTTTCCAGCACACTCGATTCACGGGCGCATCAGTTATTCCAACAATGTCCGATATACGATACGTTGAATTGTGCTGAGAATATCATAATACGCAGTAAATAGAATGTCTGGGAATTCACAGTTGGGTGAGCTTACTCGAAAGTGACACCGGCTACGGCATTACTTGGTGGGGGAAGACAGCTTGGTAATGACAGTTTCAATAACTGTATATATCAAACAGGTGTTGGCTGTTCCTGCGCATCATCTATTGTACAGTGCCTATACTATTTGACACTCCCCTCTGGAACACCAATACAGTGCACGTTACTGCTTGCTGTTACACATGGGGATATTCACTAAGCATACCGATCAGGCATCACTCCAAATTGGTCATAATTTGTGGCATCGCCTCTAACAAATCTTACTAGCTCTGAATTTGAATCTGAAGCTAACTCATACATACAGGGTATTCGAAGGAATGTACTAGACAATTGACCTGTCGTTGGTACGGTGAGGTCTCGAAGCACATCTGCCAGCGAGCTCATTCATGTGCGGCTTTTGGAGGAATGCTGTGATTATAATCTGCTGTCCAGCTTGATTTATTGGTTTTGGGAAGTATATCAGATCGACAGGGCCTTGAGTCCAGTCCAGTGCCTTTTTATACATGCTATTTAGCTGAACAGGTCCCTGTTTGTGCTCGGTTGCAATTTGTCCTGGTGTTGCTGGCTGCGGAAGAGAACAGTGAATTTGTCCTTGGCACGTCCCAGGGATGTCTTGGCACGTCTTGGCACGTCTTGGCACGTCTTGGCAGCGACATGACATGTCTTGGCAGAGGTGTTTGGACAGTGGCTGCTGGGACGGTGTGGAGGCTACTGTTGGTGTTGTGTGTACTGTTGGTGGTGTGAGGACACGGGATGCCAAGAACGGTGCGTCGTGTGCGTACGGCTCTGCGCGGGCTGCGTGGGCTGCGTGGGCTGCGTGGGCTATGCCCTCCTGCAGACGAACTGCGTCGCTCCCCGTTCCATACGCGGCTCCCTCAGGCCACTTCTGTGCCCCACCACCACTCACCGAGTGATTTACATATTGCGAGAGTGGGTCTTGCCCCCGCGGCATTCCCCTCGCTCTCGTTCTCCTTCTCTCTCCTTCTCTATCCTTCTCCGTCAGCCTCCTCACAGATGCGGCGTGCTCAAGTGTCCTGAATATGTCATAAATGTCGAGAATTAAAGGAAGGACATGCAACTGTTGCGAGGGATGGAAACGAGGCATTAGATTTTGCACATCTCACAGCTGTAATTAACGTATGTTTTCCATTTGCATAGTCCAGGCCTCATTTGATGCAAAGGGAGTATGCCTGAATTTTCCCGCAGCACCCTCTTGTTACTAGGTATCCATAGATATACAGCGAAACATTGAAAAGAATACTGACCAGCCAAATTTGTGCTAGACCGAATGTGTATACAGAGACATGTATATAGTTAAATAGCTAGTTACCTACTCTGAACAGTATTAGCAAGTCTGGGCAGCGAGCATCAGCTAGCATCAGCTAGCATCATCTAACAGCACCGTGTAGCACAGAGATAATGAACCATCGATATATGGATTGTCTAACAGATCCTAGTCACTCGGCAGGCTTGCTCAGAATTTAGAGATATATAGCTAACATCCAATAGCAATCTCCCCTTCCAGAGTGCAAGAAATTAGTCCCAATACACGAATGATCAGATGACGGCAAATGGGGTTTTCCAATTGGAACTCAAAGTTACCCGCAATGAAGTTGAAATAATTTTTTTTTTTTTTTTTTTTTTTTTTTTGGAATTTCGCTCATCTCATCTCATCTCATCTCAAACTATAGAAATTGCAGAAAAAAAAATAACTAAAAATTTTTTGAACCTTAAAAGATTGCGTATAGTTGATCTTTTGCAAAACAATTGATGCATTGAAAGAATCAAGCCCAAAAGTATAAAAAGAAACTGTTGAATTTGGATATTTTAGACTCAACGCTGCTTATACATATTGTAAGTCTAAGAACGTATTTTTTTTTCTACTGATCAAGAAAAAAGCGGCCTATCAAAGGTTTTTTGTTGGGAACTTGGTATACTAGTTTGAAGTTTTGGAAGTAAATTTTGCTTAGTTCTTTGAAGATACTTAAAACAGTCAAGTAACTATTTTAATTATCTTTGCGAGAGATAAAAATCTACAATCGGATTACAATAAGAAGGAATAAAATTACAATTGTGCTGCATGATTTATCAAAAGAGTGGTAAGAGTCCGAGGAAACACGCTGTTCCGGCACAACGGACCGCTGAAGGTGTAACGCCCACAAATGGAGACAGTTCATCAGTGAAGCCAGCTAGGCCCAGACGATTTAGTCTTTTGTATTCTTCTGATTCGTCACTTAGCGATATGTCAGATCGACAGTCCCATTCTGATATATCTGAAGAAGGTGAAGACGATGATGATGATGATGACGACGACGATACTAGCAGTAGCTCTGATGATGATGACGAAAATATCGATTTTGTGAAACTATCAGCACAAAGGAAGAAAAAAGCGATGCAGGCATTGTCACTTTTCAAAAATAAACATCAGCTCAACAACGACTCTCAAGCCATAGAAGAAGAAGATATAGGAGAAGAAGTGGATGAGAAGATAACTACAGGCAACCGCCCCGATAAGGCCACAAAGGCGGCCCAGATAGATGAAGACCTACCGGTACCGCAGTTTAAATCCGATAATGAGGAAGACAACGAACTGGATAAAAATATTGAGAATGATAGTGACAGTGTAGGATCTTCAAAATTAGCAAACAATTCAGGGTTAGAAGAGGACAGTGATCAAGGTGGAGCTATAAGCTCGGAGGAAGAATCAGATTACGACATTGATCAGGATGCTTACTTCAATGCTATCGAAAAAGAGGATGATCTAGATTCAGATGCAGAAACTGGTAATGACGATGAAGATCTACCAATGATTCTACATGAGGAAGAGCAAAATATAGTAAAGGAACTAGGTAGTGACGATAACTTGTCTGGATGGGAGGCTGAGAGTACTTTGTCAAACTTCGATATATATAGCGGATTTGATAACGATGATGAAGAAGAAAATGAAGATGAAAATGATAGTAAAAAGCTCTCTACCACCTCTCAAAAGGATTCAACAAATGATGATATTATGAATGAACTAAAAGATTTCAAAATTCCCAACCTAAATACAGCAAAACCATTTTCGCATAAGAAGGGTGTTACCAGTGATATGTCAAAATTTTCAATTAAAAAAAAGAGAGGCGATAAAACTACGCCCTCAAAGCATGATACACTACCAAAAGCCAGCTCAATAGATTCTGATGACTATATTTTTAATGTATTCTTCCAATCTGATGATAGCGAAACAGAAAATAATAGTAGTAAAAAATCTGCTAAATCAGCCGATGACCCACTAAAATTAAGTGATTTCTTCAAAACAAATGCCGATAAGGCGAAGTCTATGAGTAACAGTTCTCACAATCTTTTACACGACGAAGCACATTTGCCTTCAGATGACGACTCATACCTCTCAAATGGTACGTTGGATAAAGGCCTTGAAGAAAGTCCAGATGAAGACAACTTTTCAGACTTAGAGGGCATATCAATAAGTTCGATTGATTTTGATGAGGATGATGATGACATCAGCATTAATAATGTTTTTGTTGACATCGATGATCTAGACCCGGATTCCTTCTATTTTAAATATGATGATGATGAAGAAAGTAGTGGAAGTGTTGATGTAGAAAATATTAGCCTATATTTGAGTGAGGGGAAAAATGGTGGCCACGATGTGATCGAAACCACTGTCTATGTTCACGATGATTCAACGGATGAGGATGACAACTTACCACCACCTGAAGCTAGAAATAAAACTATAGGTACAAAAGCAAAAGAGATTGTCAGTGCTAATGTAGTTGGCTTAAAGCCGCCCAAATTGGGAACATGGAATACAGAGAACAAGCCTTTCAGTATAATTGACGGTCTTTCTACTAAATCTTTGCATTCACTAATTCAAGAGCATCAGCAGATGAAAGAACAAAAGTTAAATGATATCACATTAACTAAATCTGACTTCTCAGGTACTTCATCACCTGGAGGTGACGAACTAACCTTAAATGAGTTATTAAATATGAGTGAGTTGGACGATGATGAAGATAAAAGTGTTGTAAGCCATGGTATTCCTTCTAATATGAACAATGCTCATCTTAACAAAGGAAATATTTATAACTCACTGTCAGTTACAGACTGGTATGAGAAGCCAAAGGTACCGCTGTCTGCATTTAGAAACAAGGGCATAAGCTCTTTTCAGGAAGAAGATTATATGGCCAATGCTACCCAAATAAAAAAAGTCCCAATTGGTTATATGGGAATGGAAAAGACAAGGCGGAAATTTGATAAGATGAAAGAATTGCAGAAGAAAAGACAGGAGAAAAAGAGGAGGCTAAGAAAGAAAAAGAAGTTACTAAAACTGAAAAAAGAGCAGGCTCGGCAACTTCAAGAGAGTGAGATAGAACGTCAACTTTCATTACCTCCCGTGCATTTGGCTCAAGATCAAGATTTAAAGTTATCAATTTAAGCTGAAATCCGTCAACTCCATAGAAAAATGTAGAAGATTGACATCTACCATCAGTAATATATTAAAACGTACATATTCTCAATGCATACCTATCCTATTAGAGATAAATTAAGTTCTGATCTTTAAATACTGTTGTAGGTAATCAGGTAAATTCAAAGAACATTCTATAAAGTAAAACTTTAAAGAAAGCAGTTTTTGAATAATATTCTTATGACCTTTCAACAGAATTATTTATTAGCACTTTACTAACAAATATTAAAGAGCCATATGATCTTACATAATAATAGACCAAGTGATAAAATCGGTATGAACTCAATTTCTTACATGCCAATAATCTCATTATTGACTTTAAATTTTATATCAATATACTAAACTACCTAAACTGCTACCCTTCATACATACGTATATAATGACTGAAAAATTTCAAACTAAAAGAACTGTGATGCGATGAGATGCGATGCGATGAGATTAACTTAGTGTAATAAATAAGCATTTGTTGCACTCATTTTTTCAGGTTTAACTACTACATATTAATCACCACTTCTTTAATCAGCCAGAAAGAGTTCAGCAAATCTTTATTAAGTTCAACTCACCACAAGATGTCATCCGATTTGAAGTGCAGTTACAAAAGTACTTCACTATCGCCTATTTATGCAAGCACCGGGTCCGTAGCCACTATATCTGCTGATGGCTCGTTACTGGCATGTCCAGTACTTGATGAAATTAACATCATACAGCTTATCCCAAATAGAAAGCTTCTGCATAGCATAGACAATGCGGATGAGCAAGAAATTACAGGAATTAGTCTAACACCTGATGGAAAGTATCTGATCTACGTTTCCCAATCACAACTAGTCAAAATTGTGAATGTTGAAACTGGTGTTATTACAAGAAGTTTGAAAGTTTCCTCTCCCTCTTATGTCATGACATGCGATCCTACCTCAACATTAGTTGCTATTGGTGGAACTGATGGTTCTATTACGGTCATTGATATCGAAAATGGTTACATTGCTCATTCGTTCAAGGGTCACGGAGGTACCATATCTAGTTTAAAATTTTATGGTGAACTAGGCACTAATATATGGTTATTAGGATCGGGTGATACCAACGGTATGGCAAAAGTTTGGGATCTAGTTACCAGAAAATGTAAATTTACAGTTCAAGAGCACTCATCCGCCATAAGAGGTATAGATTTTACCAAAAATGATGACAAAGACGTTTTGAACCTAATCACAGGTGGTAGAGATAATGTTTTGAATTTATGGAGATTTAATATCAAGGGTAAGAGTTCAAAGCTGGTGAAAACTATCCCCGCTCATCTCCAAATCGAAGCATGTGGTTTTATAACGCATAATGACGAAACCTTTGCATATACTGCTGGTGGAGATGCTGTCTTTCAAATTATTGATTTGAATGAGAGCTCTGTGGTGAAATGTACCAAAAAACCAATAGAGGAGCTATTTATTACAGGAGTCATTCCTATAAACCAGGGAAATCAATTTTATGCTGTGCTTTCTGATCAGACTATTCAACTACTTCAGCCAAATTCAGAAATTTTTAGTTCTAAAAGCGAATTCATCCAAATTCAGGAATATATCGCAGGTAATCATGGTACTGTAGCAGATCTTTGTCTTGTAACAAAGAACAAAGATTGTATAGCATTAGCCACTAATTCCCCAAGTTTGAGAATAATCCCGCTACCAAAAATTGACGCAGATACACAAGATACAGATCTCCCAATCGAAGTGAATTTATATGAGGGTCACTCAGATCTTCTAAATTCATTAGCTTGTACCGAAGATGGTCAATGGCTAGCTACTGCATCGAAGGATAAAACAGCTATATTATGGCATTGGAACAACACTTCTAAGCGGTTTTACATATACGCAACGTTTGTCGGGCATGCTGCATCTGTTTCTGCTGTATGCCTTCCGAATGTTATGGAAAAGAACTATCCAAAATATATAATAACAGCATCTAATGACCTAACGGTTAAGAAATGGGAGATTCCACCTATGAAAAATGATCTGAATGAGGTGCCTTTCATTGTAAAGAGTTCTATTTACACTCGTCATGCTCATGAGAAGGATATTAATGCTATTTCCATGGCTCCTAACGACTCTATTTTTGCCACAGCATCATATGACAAAACCTGCAAACTTTGGAATGTTGACACTGGTGAACCAGTTGCAACTTTGGCGAATCACAAGCGTGGTCTGTGGGATGTTTCCTTTTGTGAATCTGAAAAATGGATAGCGACTTGTTCTGGTGATAAAACAGTGAAGATATGGTCACTGGAATCATTTACGGTTTTAAAGACATTAGAAGGTCATACTAACGCAGTACAAAGGTGCTCATTTATGAACAAGCAAAAGCAGCTTGTTTCGGCAGGTGCTGATGGCCTTATTAAAGTATGGGATATTGCAAGCGGTGACTGCATAAAAAACCTTGATGGTCATTCTAATAGAATTTGGGCTTTATCAGTCTTAGAGGACGGTGATCTTATTATATCAGCAGATGCGGACAGTGTTTTTCAATTTTGGAAGGATTGCACTGAGGCAGAGATACAAGGTGCTCTGGAAGAAAATAAAGTCCGTGTAGAACAAGAACAGTCCTTGACTAATTACATGAACAATGGTGAGTGGTCTAACGCATTCTTGTTGGCATTACAATTAGATCACCCAATGCGTCTGTTCAATGTTCTGAGGAGCTCTATGGGATCTCAACCAGAGCAAGCGAACGGTAAAGTCATTTTCAATCAAGAGTTAGATTCACTTATTGGAACTCTTAACAAGGACCAATTAATTCAATTAATGAAAAGATGCAGAGATTGGAATACTAATGCCAGGACTCATATGGTGGCGCAAAAGACCATTTCCTGTATTTTCTTGAATCATGATATGACCGAATTTGGTGAAATTCCTGGGATGGTAAGAATTGTAGAAACAATACTGCCATATTCGAAGAGACACTACAGTAGAGTCGATAACTTAGTGAAGGAAAGCTATTTGCTAGACTACGCATTGCATGATATGGATAAATTGCTGTGATACTGTGACTACCATTATAGAATATTCTATAAATTTATCTCAAATACATGAAAATTCTTTATCAAATATATACAACTATAATGCATTATACTTAATAATCGTAGTCAAAATAGAGAGTGTTCAGTAACGTTACAGATGCGAGAACAGCTCATGCCGTGAATGTAGTTATCACTGTCGTACGAAACTTTCTGTGTTTAAAATGGTATTCGGAATGAATTTGAAAAATTTCAACTAGCCATGCTATAACTAAATGTGCTAGTGATGAGATAAGCATATTTCATTTTAAAAACTTATTATATAGTCCTACATTATACAATACACTAGTTACAACTATAATATAATAAAAAAATCATAATCAATATGCCTTCTCAGGAGATATTTAAAACAAAGCAAAGGAAAAGCACAAACAGAAGAAGAAAGAAGAGAAGAACAGCCGAAAGCGAGTCTGATTCTGACTCCAGTTCTTCTTCAGCTGCCTCAGATATTGAAATGACCAATGAGGAAGAAAAGAATGACAATAATAGTCCTATTATATCAGATGTAGAACTGTCAGATTTAGAGAATGAGTCTGAAAAAAGAGATGTTTATGAGTTAGACAAAGAAACGAAAAACAAGCTTGCGAATATACCCTTGACTAGAACAGAATTCACATCACGTAAGGATAAATCTGTGCCGATCAATCTAAATGCGGTTCAGAACAAGTTGGAAATGTCTGAAGAACAACTAAAAGATAGAATAGCTACGGATCAGAGTAAAGAACAAGATGCCTACCTGAATTTGATGTTTGAGAATTTTGGTGATGAGCTGAATGCATTCAGAACAGCTTCTGATTTCAATAGCAAGACAGTTAATATACTAGCAAATGTTTTGAAAGATGGAACAGCTCTCTTTGATAACGAGACGTTGAAATCCATAGTAAAATCACAAATATAAGCATATGTACACTAAAATAAACAAAGCGCATATAATGTAATAGAGCAGGATTCTTGGCTGCTCATTTCTCAGCTTACTGACACTCATTTCGAAAAAACACAGAAGCGAATATAAATATCTTTAGATGTTCATCGCAAAATCACTCTGAGTATAATGTCTATGTATTAATTAAATAAAATGTAAAAAGATTCAATAAATATGGAATTAATAAAAAAAGATTAAGTTAGAAAGAGTAATGAAAATACTCGTTACTGAAACCCTTAATGGCCAGCACTAAAACAACGTGAAATACGAGATTAGGATATTAAAACGAAATCTCAATCAAGTAAAAAAAAATAAACTGGATACCACAACTTCAGTGGTATTCAAACCTGGAAGTTTTGGCAATAACTTTGCATTTGGTCGAATTGCATCATATCATTGATATATTTCACTGTTGCTATTATAGAAGTCTTCAAATTAACTTCTCATTATTTTTCAATTTCAATATACCAATTGGTGAAATCAACACACTTCCAAATTCGTGTAGAAAGTAATAAATTTTGATAGCGTGAGTTAGAGCAGGCTTCTTCTAGCATATATTAAGGGGGGGGAAGAGTTTCATTACAGCTTACTACAAAATGCTCTTTTTGGTCCGATCTTTATTAGTAACCAGGACGTCCTCCTACAGGAAGTACCACTGATGACAGCGACTTCTTGTCGGGTGCCACCAAAAAATGCTATTATTATGAGGCTTTTTCATGTTGATGAAGCCTGGGATCTATCCCAAAAGTTTGACGAAAAACCAAGCAGCTCCTGCTGCGACACCACCAACTGCTACCATCTGCAGCCCTTCCGAGACCTTTTTGTTAGTTGTACAACTTTCCCCCATCGAGACCATGGTCTTTATATAGCCGAACCAGAACAACGTGATGGCCATGACCACGATTGAGTATATCAGGCCTGTTCCGACTTCCTTTACGAAGAAATATGGCACCAAGGGCACCAGTCCACCGAGCAGGTAGCCGCCGCCGATGGTTACAGCGCTGACGAACTGTCTGTTCTCTGCTGGCTCGTCGAGACCACGGCCATACCTAATGATGAAGTCCACCATCAGCTCGGGCTTCCGCTGCAAGTCCTTGAAGAACGACACTATGGTCTCGTCTGAGAAGTCTGGGTTGATGTCCAGCAATATGTCTTCTATCTCGTGGTTTATTAACGTCATATTCTCGTAAAACTTCCGCTTCTCGGACTTGACCTCGGCGTGGTAGTAGTCCGACTCGCTCTTGGCACCCAGGTACCCACCCAGACCCATCGATATCGCCCCGGATATGAGCTCCGCGAACCCACCGGTGATCACCAGCTTCGCGTCACCCAGCGACGAGAGCCCCGCGGTTAGCGCAAATGGCACCGTCAGCCCGTCGCTCAGCCCGATAATCAAGTCGCTGATCACACGCGGGTCCACATTGCTGAACAGACCCTCGCGCTCGCCACCGTCAACCGACGCCTCTATATCATTACCATTGTCGTACTTCGTCCCGCTCCCGCTCCCGCTCCCATTCACATTCACATCGCCCACACGCGTGGCATCGCTATCCATAGACCCGTACGTCCCCGGCAGCTTCGACGCCCCGGGAGACACCAGCTTCGCTACCGCGTTCTTCAACCCAACTACAGACATATGATCTCTATGTGCCTCTGGGGGTCCTTGTCGCGGGAAAGAAACCATCGAAACCGATAACCGTGCCTTTTATATACTTTTCCCTTGCCAGGAGCGAATGCCCCGCCCCACCCCCCCACCAGGCCTCCTGCGGCCCGCCCGTGGCCCATCCCAGTCTAATCAGTAATTTATGCCTTGAAGGGAACTTGAAAGAGAGCGATTCCCTTCTTCACTAAAGAACAATCCTTTGTGAAGCTGAGAAAACCCCGCAGCAACCTCCCTTCTGCCTTTCTCTTTGTGAACTTACCCGGCCAGTTTCTGTCAACGCCGAATGGCAGCCGAGCAGCTTACTAAGAGCTCGTTTGGGGTGTATGGGTGTTACATACAAGTGTGGTGTGTGGGTTGTTTGCTCTGGGGTGTGTGTGGCAGTCACGTTGTATAACAGTGTACGATACTAGCGTGTGACGGCGCTACCAGTAGTATGGGGCCCACAAGTTTTGAAATACAGGTATGTAGCTGTGAATTAATTATTAAGTGTAGATACAGAGGAATATATTATTTTCTGCCAAACAGTTTCCTGAGGAAGCTCTTCTTCTTGCTCGTGCCAGTGCCCGTCGTGGCTGCGGTGCCTGTAGTGCCACCGGTGGCAGCCGTGGCAGCAGTTGCGACGGATGCGTGGCGTGTAGCCTCTTCGAACGGGACGTGGCCCGAGAGGGCGTCCACTGCGTCGATGTCGATGAACGGCGTCTTCGCCGTACCGTAGCTCATCGCAGGTGCTGTAGCGGGTGTTTTGGCTGCAGTTGCAGCGGGCGCTGCCTTGCGCGACCCCGTTTCGCTCACAACACTGATCTTCTTCTCGATCTGCGACAAGGGCACAGGCTGCTCCTGCGGGTGCGTGTGCCTGAAGGACGACTCGCTCGCGTTGTCAGCAAGCGGCGTCTCCACGGGCAGCGTTGTGGTGTTGCCGTGCTTGCCCACAGAAGACCGCCTCTCAACTGGAACAACCACAGGCTGTGCCATTGATGTACCTGCTGGTGCAGTAGCCGGGGCAGAAGCCGGGGCAACCATCGCAGCTTCCTCGTCATCGTGCGCTTGGTAACCGTAGTTCGACTGCGCAAACTTCAGGATCTTGTCCACTATCTTATACTTCGAAATTGGTGCATCAGGGGCAGCGTAAGCACCAACAGGCTCCGCAGAACGGGACTGGTACAATGGTGCACTGGTGGCGCGGAACCCAGCAGCAGGTGCTGCGTACTCGTTGGCTGCACTCGCACTCGCCATCTCAACATTGTCCATTCTTTCTATTTGACTCGCCTCGTTCACATTCTCGGCAACCACGGGGTCCGTAGTTGTTACCCCAGGTGCAACCTCTACAGCTGCAGCACCGCCACTCACCATACCTCCAGCGCTTGCGTTGTTGATCTTGCTTTTGTTGTCATCAGTGTGGAACGTCTTGGTGAATCTCTGCTTGAAACCTGACTTCTTTGGAGCAGTTGAGGCAACCGGTGTAGCAGCACTGGCAGCGCCAACGCTGGCGGCTCCAACAGCAGCAGTGTCGGCACTTACAAGATCGTTGTATCTCTTTTGTGCTATTTCTAATGCTTTTTCATACATCTCTTCATCTGTTAGCTTCTTCTTACCCGCCTGTGGTGGCACTGCTGAGCCAGTCATAGATTTAGACCTTCTTACATCTGTTTGTTGTTGGGCCACATTGTTTCTGGCAGACCCCTGATCATGGAATTTGTTCATCATCATTGATGATGACCTTGGAACAGGAGCTGAATCTCTCAATGTCATTCTCTTTCCCATCGTACTAACTCTCTTGTTACTATTGTTTGCAGCATTTCCTACCACGGCAGGATCATCTGTCTTGTAAACTTTCTTCTTTGCAACTTCCAATGCTTGCAGATACATTTCTTGCTCTGTCAACGGTTGCTTCTTCTTTTTGGTTGTGTTCATATGGTCTATGCTTCCTTGGGTAAAAGAGACTGTCCTTCTTTGGTTCTGGCCTTGCTGAGGTTGAGCTAATTTTCTTGCAGTCATTGAGTTTCTCAAGTTAGACTTCTTAGGTTTAGCCGTCGTAGTAGTGGGTGGTATATACTCCATCGCATCTGAAAACTTAGACACACTGCTAGTTTGATCTAGTGGCACCTCTTCTGAGATAGTCTTCTTGGCTCCCAATGATGAGAGGCTGCCTGTGAGTGAGTTTGATCTTCTTGCGGCAATGTTAGTCCTTGGTGGCTCGTTGAACTCTCCTGGCAAGCGCTTTGTACCTGTGTGCCCTGGGTCTTCTTCTTCTTCGGTTTCTTCTTCGACGATGTCTTCTATGTACTGCTGCTGTTGGTGTTGCAGCACTTCTGATGATAGATCGTCCTCCGCAACAAAGTCACCGCTGAACTCATCGAAATGTGCCTGTGGGCTAGGCAGTCCGTCGTCGTGTTCCTCCTCGACATCTGTGCCGTCCTCAACCGACACGAGGTCCATGTTTGCGGGCATTTTGCCGTTCTGCGTGGGCAGCGGCTCGGTGGTCGTTGTTGTAGTTGTGGTCTCCACGACTTCGTACCCGTTTATCCTCCTGACCGTCTTCTTGGTGATGGACTTGGTCCTGCCCTGAGGGTCCCTGACCTTTGTGGTAGTCACTGTGATCGAGTTCGTGCGAGGCTGGTTCACGCCGGTCCCGAGCTCTTGGTCCACGCTCGCACGCCTCTGCTGCGTGCTGGCCCTCCTCACCTGGGCCTTGCCCGCAGCAGGTCTCCGGCTGTTCGAAGTGATGGACGAGGCGCGGTCAGACCTCAGCGAGTACGTCCGCCCAGCGGGCGGCTGTCTCGCCGCGGCCGGGTTGTAGGAGTGCATCAGACTGTAGCTCCGGGAAACACCCGTCGCGTTCGGGTTCGGGTTCGTGTAGATAGCAGCAGCGGCAGCACTCGCACTCAGCCGCTTCCCGCCGTATTCGCGCGGAACATAGTACTTGCTCGAGTCAACAGCGGGCTTGTTCTGGTAGTGGTAGTCGTACCGGGACAGGTCTGGCACCCGTCTCTCCTTCTTAGTCAAAAACCCCATGAGTAGTTGTGTTATGGATGTGTTATGGATGTGTTATGGATGTGAGATGTCAGTTGTGAGATGCCAGTTGTAGATGGCTTTGCAATTGGGTCCTATACTTTTATTTATTTATATTGCAATCCCTTGGTGGAAAATTATTTGCAAAATTAAGTGGGAAAGCCCCCCTGCGGCGATCCTCTCCCGGACCGACAGACAAAACTCCTTTCCCAGCAGGGAGATCATCTCGGGAATTGCGCATTGAGAGCATTGAGCATCCCGGGAAGTGCGAAGTGCAACGGCAGCTTGTGCGGGCTGTTCTTCGGTGGGGAGACAGTTCATATCCGCATATGGCACAAACCTCCCCTATTTGTTGTTACCCGGACTTCTGGGGGGTGATACTGTACGTATATACATGTGAGTTGTGTCGTGGCTAGGTATTCAGGGGTATATCTTGGGAGGGGATCGGTGATTATATGTTTATCGCCGTGGGAACTCTTTGGCAGTGCCGTCTTTGGCAGTGCTGTCTTTGGCAGTGCTGTCTTCACTATGCTGTATCTCCGCTTTCCAACTAGGCCCAATTGAGTTATCCAGGGTCTTCACATGGGGGGAGGGGAAGGGCAAGACTATATATATGTGTAGATTTCTTATCTGGCAAATTGGATCCTCCCCTTCGAAGGTATCCAACTGGGGTAAGGAAATCATGGACTCGGTGTTGACTTTGCGTTTGATTGCTGCTATATTCGTGGTCATCGGTGTGGTGCTCATGTTCTTTGAGACCGGCTTGGCCATCGAGCAATAGTTCTATGTACTGCTTTATATTATATAGCTTTGAGCACAAAATATATTTCGTTTCGAATACAAAAAAATAACAACTAATGTATATATACCTTTTGAAGGAGTGCTTCTAGATCAGGGACTCTTCTCTTTGGTCTGGGTCCTGCTCGTCGGCCTCGGCCTCTTCGACCTCCCTGGATCTGTCGTAGAACTCGTCCAGGATCTTAGGCGAGATTCTGTTCAGCATCTCCTTGGGGTAGATACGTAGCAAGGACCACGCCTGGTCTAGAGACTCAAACACAGTTCTGTTCTCGTACGCACCTTGGCTGATGAAGGTCTTCTCGAACTTCTCCAGGAACTCCAACGACAGCTTGTCCTCGATGGACAGAGCCTCTTCACCAACGACGGCCTTCATGGCGGCGGCGTCCCTACCGATGGCGTACTTGGCGTACAGCTGGTTCGAGACATCACCGTGGTCCTTTCTGGTCATACCTTCACCAATGGCAGACTTCATTAATCTACTCAACGATGGCAACACATTGATAGGTGGGTACACACCCTTGTTATATAGTTGACGGTCAACACTGATCTGGCCCTCGGTAATATAACCAGTCAAATCCGGAATTGGATGCGTGATATCATCGTTAGGCATAGTCAAGATAGGAATCTGGGTAATCGAACCGTTACGCCCTTCAACACGACCAGCTCTCTCGTATATGGTGGATAAATCTGTGTACATGTAACCTGGATAACCTCTTCTACCTGGAACTTCCTCTCTGGCAGCAGAAACTTCTCTCAATGCATCGGCATACGATGACATATCTGTTAGAATCGTTAAAACGTGTCTCTCTGTTTGGTATGCAAGGTATTCAGCGGTGGTTAGCGCTAGTCTAGGTGTGATAATTCTCTCAATGGTTGGATCGTTGGCCAAGTTCAAGAATAACGACGTCCTCTCCAATGAACCATTCTCTTCAAAATCTTGCTTGAAAAATCTGGCTGTTTCTAGGTTAACACCCATGGCAGCAAACACAATGGAGAAATTCTCTTCATGACCATCATGAACATCCTTTGTAGGTCTAACCAGGCCAGCTTGCCTACAAATTTGCGCAGCAATTTCATTGTGAGGCAGACCAGATGCAGAGAAAATAGGAATCTTTTGACCACGAGCAATAGAGTTCATGGTATCAATCGCAGAAATACCTGTCGAAATCATTTCTTCTGGGTAAATACGAGCATATGGGTTGATAGGTGAACCGTTGATGTCAAGATAATCTTCAGCGAAAACCTTTGGACCGTTATCAGTAGGTCTACCAGAACCATCGAAAATTCTACCCAATGTGTCTTCAGACACTGGAATTCTCATGTTTTGACCTGTGAATTCCACAGTGGTCTTCTTAACATCAATACCGGATGTACCTTCAAAAACTTGAACAATGGCACGATCGCCTCTAACTTCCAGCACTTGACCTTGTCTGATAGAGCCATCTGGCAGTGTCAGATTGACAATTTCATTATATCTTGGGAACTTCACACGTTCTAGAATAACCAATGGACCGTTGACACCACTGACTGTATTATATTCAACACGAGGGTCAATCTTAAAACCGTTCTCAACAGCCTTCTTGTTTAACTCAAACAATTCCTTATCTGAGATAGTCATTCTTGCTCTGTTTTGTAAAGTTTATACTCAAAAACACCTCCTTGTTCCGCTAGTTGCTATTATCAAAACAGTGATCCTTTGAACTGACACCTTTTTGATATTTCAATATTATTCCTTCCGAGCAATTTGCACCGCTACTTGGGTAAAAATGGGCTGTCTATGTATACCTACTTTCAGGATCTAGATGGCAATTTCAAAAGTCAACTATTTTTTCACTAAAACAAACGCTAATTGGAATTAGGAATGGTGTTTCTTCTTATCAAACCTTAAACCAATATCAGTTGCTATATTCCAATTCCTGGCTAAGTTTTGGGTTTCCTTAGAGGGCCTCCTTGGTTCTGGTCGTATCGTAAAACAACTGGGAAAGAACTAGCCATAACGGTTACGTGCTTAATGATGATTCCTACAATGACTATAGAAAGATATAAGATATTTCCCTCCCATTGTTTTCCAGGATACAAGTATAGTAGATTACGGTTACTTAATATACTTTATATATTTAACCTACAATATACCATCTATCACTAACTTCGTATTTTTTATCGGTAGGCGGCTCTAATTTTTTGTGATCCTTGAGCAATACTTCTTCCTTTTCAGCACCCAGTGATGAGCACACTATATCTACTAAACGGTCAGTACTCCATTGGATATTTTTGGCCCCACTTTTAGTGTCTATGGGTATTGACATTGCCATGTGGTAGAACAGGCCATCTATATCGTACTGATCAAGGATCCATGCATAGTCAATGTTTTGTTTCCGTTCATCGATAAGCTTTGAGCGTGTCATAACAACAAGTATCATTTGTATCAGTTTTATCAAAACTTGTAATAATTCTGGTGCGTTGCGTTTAAGCTTAGCGCTGTGACCTTGGAGAGACAGCATTTCATCTTCGTGAACAAACATCGCAGAAGGATATTTAATACAGTAAATGTGTTCTAGCAAGTTCATATATTGTATAAGCTTTCGAAGTGAACCTTCTATTAAGGGAAGAGGAAGTCGATTAAAGTTCTTCAATGAAATGACGGGCTGATACGATATAGTGAATGGTATATCATGAGAGTCTCTTTTGCGGATTGAATACCATTTGTTTAGCATAGCTAATTTCTCTGATCTAGTTTGTATACTTAGCCTCTTAGCAATTTCAAGTTTATCCTGAAGTTGTTTCTGGGCTTTCAATATGGTCTGCGGGTCAGTGAACCTGTTTTGGTTCTTGGGTGGGCCATTAATTAAAGATCGTAACTCGGCAATATATCGACTTTTCTCCTTGATCCTACGATCTTGTTGAGAGATCTTGTGTTTAATCTTGTTGTTCTGTCTCTCCTTCCTCAGTACTTGCACTTTGCCCAAGCGTTCCTTTAATATTTGAACACCTATATTGCTCTCTAACTGTTCGCCATTTCTAATATTCGTGTTAAGCTCATCATCAACTTCTTCCAAATACTGGTCAACTTTATTTCTAAGTGCGTTATTTATCTTCCCTAATATGTAGAGGTCAAACTTTAACCTGATCAATAAATCTGGACTAGAATTGATGCAGTGGGCACAATAAAAGACGTGAGACTGAGTTTCACAGATTGGGCATTGCATTCCCATATAATCATAACTAAAGAAACCCCTAACTCAATAGGAATATCTTGTTGTCGCTACTGGGAAGTATAATGTATTGACTTTGATACTTTAAAAGACTTGTAGTTCTGATATTTAATACCGTGATTAAGGTATGCCCTTGAAGAAGACTTAATTGTTTTCAAGAAAATTAACATTTTGGTGAAAATTCCTTAGTACATGAACGTTTGCCAAAAGGAAAGAACATTAATGAATTTTAAATTGTGATAATACAAACCAAAGCTAGTCATTGACATTACCTATTATTTACTCTATTGATGATATTTAGCTACTTTAACCCTCCCTAAAGATATCTGAAGTTATATATATAAGTCATTTGTTTCATATTTCTCATCTTGTATAAATATAAGCTAACAATTGTAATGAAAGCTAGCTTTTACATCCGAGAGACACCGTATTGGATAAAAAAAAAAATTAAACTTGATTAATTATTAGATTAGAATATAGTCATTTATTTCGAAACTGTCTTTCTGCTTGCTAGAATTACACTTTTAATATTAACAATCCAGTCAATCATCAACTGCTCGGTCTTAGCTTTGAATTTGATTCGATGGTTGACACTGATTAACGAAAATACTGGCTGTAGATCCTTAGATTCATACTCAACGCAATCTATTACATTTACCAGATCAAATTGGTTTTTGAGATTACCCGTTTTGATAGAATAAAGTTTGATACATCTATTTGATAATTCAACTTTGAATTTTTTCCATTTACGTCTGTTAAACCTCGTCTTTATCCTTGCATACAATGTAGTTGACATAATGACGTGTTCAGGCTTCTGTGGATCGTACTTTTCAAAGAATTTTCTATCTTCTTCTGAAATCTTGCTTCCTAACGTAGAGCCGTTGTTATCTGGGGTTGTCGGCGAAACATGAGCAAATTCCAGATATAATTCGCCTTCATCGTCATCTTCGTCGTCCTCGTCTTCGTTTTCATCTATTATTGCATGCTGGTTAGTATTCTCATCAGCAAATCTTGTATCTACTTTCAGATCCCTCTCTTCCATTAATTTCTTAAATCCTTCTTCCCAAAGGTCCAAGATCTTCGGTTCACACTTGAACCTTAGTGTTTTATCCTTGGTGTACACTAACAACGTCTTGTCATTCTTCAGTACACGATAATTTAGTATATCTTTCCTCGGTAGTACATTTATTGCTTCCTTCTCATCTTTGGTCTTATAATAACTGAACTGACCTCTTCTTAGTACACACCAGTAAACATGGTCTCCATGCCTGGGCCACCTCAATGGAGGTGAATACAGGTGCCCATGATGAGATCCAGAGGGTTGTGGATGCTCTTGGTCATTACCTTCTAGTTTCTTACTAAGAGCCGTGGTGCTCAGAGTAGGCTTTTTCTTCAGATATGAACTCACTAACACTTCTTGAGAGTTAACCATGCTGCGGATGCGTCAACTTGGCACTTATGTAGTAGAAAACAGACTTCCAATAACACTTTTACTTTTACCGTTTTCCCAACAAAGATAATTGAACTGATAACCAAATAATCAAATAAATGTGGTACCACAGCTTACAACAATATGAATGTATATAAGCAAAATATTAAGTAGCCACTGCTCAATCTTCAATCCGGGGTCCAAATGTTTAATTTGATAAGCTTTCCATTGTTCTGCAAAGTTGATGTTGTTATTGCTTTTTTCCCACATGAGCGACGCACGGAGGACACATCAACGAGCTGACGGGTGATGATTACGGTTACTAAGTGGATACAACACATAAAGACCAAGAATTTAGGAAAATGCTGTATATTTTAAAATATTTGGAGCTATAGATGCAGGTATGCCTTTGTTTTAAATTTGTGCAGAGGAGGGAAAATGATGAGCCACTACGAGTATATAAATCTAACTAAACGAGGTTAATAAGTGAATGTCACGTCTTTTATGCAATTGAGGATGCTTATGAAGGGGGCATATGATTGGGAAGTTCTTTCTTTGCCAAATTATCTCTTTGATTTTACACCCGGAAGTACACTATTCTTAGGTTTGCCAGCGCTAGAACTAGCAACATCTGGTATTTTGAATCCTTGTTGTAACATAGGAGAAGTGATACCGTAGAAACTTGCCCTCTTGGATGCGTCAGGCGTTGGCTTCCTGAATCTGCTTCTCTCCATAACCATGTTGGGCGTCCTGTTTCTTGTGGTCTGTGGAAATTGCTTTACAGGTATATCCATCTTCTCACATAGTTCTGTGAGCTCTGATTTAAAGCTAGAGTAATGCTCAGTGATTGACTCAAGATGAACCTTTGTGGAAAGATCATTCCATTTAGTTTCAAGCTCCTCGATAGCCGTTTCGTTCTCAAGTTTCCGTGAAGTCACTTCTTTTTCGAGTACAGAGTGTGCATCCAATATATCATCAAGCTTTTGCTTTTCATCTGAATTATAATGGCCTATCTTACTTTCCACCATATCAAGATTGTTCCGTACTGCTTCAATTTCATCATTACAAGCTTGCTTATATTCCTCCTGTAAACTTTGTAAGATATTTTTCCTTATCTTTGATTTTGCATACTGACCTCTCAAGCTACCTAGTGACTTTGACAATTCCTTGTAATCAGAAGCCAGCTTTGAATTCTCGGTAGTTATTTGCTCATATTCCTTTTTGATTGCAAGTAAATTGTTATCACATTCCTTTAACTCAGCAGTTTTATCCTCGAGTGCAGTATTTATCTCTCTGTTGTGTACCTGCAACTTGGATACTGTCTCAGACCATTCTGCTTCGCGGTCAACTGCGTCCTGTAATTTCTTCAGTACTTCTTGATACTGACTTGTGAGTTGTAAATTCGTATTACTTAGAGTATCCACCTGGACATTCAGTGATTCTATGACTTTTGATGAAATATTGGAACCCCCACCACCAAAACTGGCTGAAGGCAAGGTGGATGCATCAGCCTTCGCTGAGTCTCCATCGTTATTACCACTGCTACTAAAACTTAGCGGTGTGCCTCTTGCATTCGCAGACCATATATCTCGTTCATTATCTGTTCCATACACTGACCCACTAGTGCTGTTCCTTGTATCCTCATTCTCGAAGTCAAATCTGTTAGGAGATTGCATATTCATCACATGCAAGTTGTACTGCTGGCCCAGCTTTGTGGGCGAAGTATTCTCTGCCATTCTTACAGCTCTCCTAAAGTAGCCAGTATATTCAACAGCCGCGATGCGTTGAATGCTTCTTTTGAAGTATTACTATACTTAAACCATAACACTGCGAAATATCCTAATTTTCGATGATTTTTTTTCAGTTGCTCTTATTTTTCAAGCTTGATCGCATCGCGTTGCCTGTAATATGCTTATGGGGATCATTAAAGGTGAGGAATAGTCACAGTGTAATTGATACACAGCCACTAATCAATTGCTGTTCCCACTTAAGATAAACTGAATATCAAGGAATGATTAATAATCCTCAGGGCTTTAGAGGAGCAGCTTGATAGAGAAACAAATACAATGTCACAAAGCCAGAGCCATGGGTCAGGTAGTCCTTTAAAGTACGTTATTGTGTTCAGACCTGGCGAAAATAAAGGTGAACAAGAAGATTCGGTGGTTAGTGAACAGTTGTTACTACACCATGCGTTTGAAGACACAGAGCTAATCACATTAAGCGCGAAACTAGGCAAAATCGGTATAATACAGGCCCTATGGACCCTGTCAGAAGATACAAATGATACTTGCAAGATTATAGAGACAGAGCAGGAGACAATGATCACAATTAAAGTTGAGGGTGAATTTTATATTACACTTGCTATAGGAGTTGATCCCGATTTACTAGCTATTCCCAATCCGATTTTTGAAGGTCACCTGTGGAATTGCTACCATTTCTTTACTATTAAATATGGAGATTTTACTTCCTTTGAGAAACATGTATTAACAGATTTACTAAATGAGCACTTTGTGTCTTTCTGGAATGATTTATACCGGAAACCAGAGTCACTAACCAGAAATTTCCTTCAGTATCTATGCCATGATTTCTACAAAGTAGCTGATCTCGATCCCAACGGCGACAAGCAATGGGAAGCCACTATCATCCAAGATTTACTAGTGCAAACTGAAAACTATTTGGGAATTAAAGATATTCTAGTGTATAATATTCCCTCAACAGAAAGTACGTACGTTGGCAAATGCAAATACGGTTTGATAAGGAATTTTTGTAACGAGTTTGAAGATCTTGGTCATTTCTCAAATTGGTTACAACATATTCATACTGTCTTTGGAAAGATATCTAGTCATGTGTTAGCTGAGAATGTTCATTATGAACTACATAGTGGCCAACTTGAACAAACAAACTCTGATGGGATCAGAGATGGCAATGACTTAAATCTTTCAGACAACAACAACGAAACTGATAGTAATACATTTTCTCAGTTATCTACCAATTTTATGCATAATCTAACATTACCAATAACATTTGCATATGATGCCATCCAAGAGGTTGGAAATACCACAGGAATAAATAATAGCGTCTCTTTATTTATGAACTATCTCCCCAAATGGCAAAATAACTCTACAGCATCAGAAAACGAAAAAAACAAAACAAAAGCAAGATATGGCTATCTTATATCTCCATTAGCATTCGATTCGCTACCAAAATCATATAAATTAAAAAAAATGCATCTTAAGTTTAACGGTGAAGAGAGAAAACCTTACCACGTATTGTTTTGGTATTATAATGATGTCCTTGTTGTAATAATATGTAATGAGAGTTTTGATAGTATATGGAGTAAGGAATATCTGAATGAACTAAACAAGCATCTGGAAAATTCAATTAAGACTCTCTATGATCAAAATCTTTATGATTTACCCAATACTGATAATCATTCAAATAAGAAGAATGATATCCTAAATTTTGCATACCTAATCACCGACAAGAAAAGAAATAAACTTTACAGTTCATTTCCAGATTTGTCTTGGTTCAATGAACAGCAAGAGACATTATATAGAACAACTTTGGAGCTGGTTTCCAATGGCCTCGAACAGCTACGCCCACAAATAACTGCTAATGAGTTAAGCATAACAACAATAGACTCCAATAAGCAATGGGGTTTAGATATTATGGGTAATATATTGAGTATGTTACCTAGTAACTCTCCCGTTCCTGTAACAAAAGATGCCTCTATACCATTGATGAAGAAACTGAACTTTTTAGATAAATTGAATGAGAAAGTACTACGGGATATTAGCATTGAAACTTTAAGAGCAATTGAAACTCTATCTCAGTCGATAAACTCTAATATTCAAGAGGAAAAATTACTTAAAACAAGTGATGGGATTTTATTGTACATACGAAACGATTGTAACAACCTGACAATCATACTAAAAAACTGGATTCAAGACACTAAGCATCAAACTAGAGCTCTCAAATATAAAAATCATACATTGAACTCATACTCTACAAGCATTGAGGACAGTAATCTATTCAAAAATCTTGGACCAGATGTGATCAGCTGGTATAGTGAATACAAACAAATTTTACAAGATGATTCTTCATAGAATGATACTCGATAGCATACTAGTCGCATCTTCTTTATGTAGCGCATTTCTAAAAGCATTTTTCATAGCCATTATAAATCTAAGATTATGACTGTTTTGTGAACATGAATCTAATTCTTATTCATTATTTGTGCCACTCTTCTACCAACTAATAGGATTAAAATATTTTGATGCTGAAATTATAATATATACTCATATATAAATATGTATATGCATGCCGCTAAATACAGACTAATGACAAATAAAAAAACATGATAGCTGCTTTTAAGAATACCAATAAAACCATAAACCATTTTAGAAAAATTAAAATAAAAATTTGGTGCCGAGTAATTTACAATGTAAATAATTTTATCATGCTTCGTCATAATAATAATACTTGAACTTGTCAAATGAGTGCTCAAGTTCATGCTGTTCAATTTCCTTTAACTCAGGAACAAAATCGATTGAATTGGGAGATTTAACAGGATCCTTACCCTTATACCAAATAAATTTGGTAAATACGTAGATACCGATATCAAGGAACACCATCAAATAGCAGAATATGAAATCTCTTCCATTCCACAACTTTGGGAAAAACACTGTATAACCTTGTAGTAAGATCATAATCAACACAGATACCAATCCAACGATGACCGTATAAGGTTGCCACCATGACTTGAAAGGTAATTCAGGCAGTCTTTCCTTCTGAGTCATGTATGCCCTTCTAAAGAAGAGATAAATGACACATAGGAAAACAAAATTTATCAATTGTGAAGCAGTGATCAAATTAATCAACCAGTTCAACACCACAGCACTATTGGAGTTCAATTGTAGCAAACTTAATAAAGCCCAGCATAGGGACACACCAACAGCATAGATAGGAACACCATACTTGTTACATTTGGTGAATATTTTAGGAGCATAACCATCCAGAGCCATACCATACAAAGTTCTCGAGGAACAGTAGGTGTACGCATTACCTGCCGAGAAAGCAGCCGTGATTAAAGCGATGTTGACAATATCTGGAAGTACTCTTATCTGCAAGTTGTTCATGGCGATAACGTATGGAGATGAGCCTGCACCTGGTCTTGCCTCATTGATAGCTGCAGTCAACGCACTATCATTTGGTGAACAAACGATACCGACACATAAACAACTTCCCAAGAAGATCACGGTCAATCTCACAAAGACCTGTTTGAAGGCCTTGGGCAAAACCTTTCTTGGCAGTTTAACTTCACCTGCCAACATTGAGATGTACTCACCACCAGCGATGGTAAATGCAGCCTGGATCAAACACGTTAGGAACCCTTGGAAATAGCCTGCCGATTTGCCCGCACCTTCGTTACCGTCTGGGAAGTACTTTTTGAAGGGGGACTCTCCGTAGTACCTGAACCCGTAACGGTCGTGCTTGGGGTTACCACCAAGCATGGTGATGAAAGTGAAGCAGAAGAGGCCCACAGCCAGTATGATCTTGAAAGACGCAAGCCAGAACTCCATCTCACCGTAGTACTTCACAGCGCACACAGAGATCAGGACGTAGAGCACAACCTGTATAACCAAGGGTATGGCGGGACTGTAGTCATCCCTCCAGTAGTGTATAATGGTGTTTACCGAGACTATCTCGTAAGGTATCTGCACACACTCCAGGAACCAGAAGTTCCAACTGGCGGTGACACCTAGGGACTCATCCACACATTTCTTAGCGAGTCTCAGGAACGGCGAGCTCACAGGCATGAAGGAGACCATCTCCGCCGTGGACACCGTGATGCACAGGATTGGTATGCACCAAAGCGCGAACGCCAGCAGCAAGTTGGCGGGCCCGCCCCTGTACAAAGGCTTACCGATGGCGACAAACAGCGCGGTACCGATGACACCAGATATCGCAATGAACTGGACGTGTCTGTTTAACAGCTTCCTGTGTGTGCTGGTGCTCTCTATCAGCTGAGTCCTCGAGTCATTACTGCTCCTCTCGTCTTCGTCAAAAGAGATCGATCGAGTCACGTCATCGCTCTCGAAGAACCTCTCCTCTATACCTTCTTCGAACGCACTGTTCTTGATAACCGATGGGAACTTGTCATCGATCTTAGACATTTGTATATGAGCATGTAGCGGAGTTTCCAAAAAAAATAATATTATCCTTTGTATCGACTTCTTTTCTTTTTAAATTTATTATTTCAAGTATTAAATTTCAAATACAACTTAAACGATATATTCAAATATACTCTTCTAAACAGTTATTTGCAAATTTTATTCCTATGTCAAGTTAGTTACAAGCGCAACAGAACCACCATTACTAAGGGCACTCACAACTCTGGGCAATATAGTACACCATCGCTTTATATATCATTTGGAAGAAACTTCCGGCTGGCAGTCTACTTCACGAAGGAGGGGGTGGTCTCACCAGAAAGTTGTACCAAAGTCCCACTACAATCCCACTATCGTCCTAATACAGACAGCTCTTCCCCCCCCACACACACAACCAGTGCCAGAACCGAACTGCAAGAGGTCCGCTATCGCTGTGTTGTCAGAATACCATAGGTAAACAAGTTGGCTGCGAAGAGAGAGAGGGAGAGAGAAGCTGGGTAACACCAAAGTGGTACGTGTTTTTCTGTGCAGACCCAGAATCCAGGAAAATCTTGGTCCGAGAAGCGAGAAGGGGAGGGGTGGTCACACAAGACAGCAACACAAGCAACTCACCATCAGCTCTGCCCCAGCTCTGCCCAGCTTTCATACGTAGCACAGGTAGCACAGGTAGCACCGGCTGCACAGAGATAAGAGCGGCCGGGACTCTGAACGGGCGCGGGCGGTGCAGGAGGATGATTCAACTCCTGAGCACAGAGACACCCGCACTGAACCCAATAATTTAAACTTATAAAATTGAAGTGGGGGAGGGGGGGATGGAAAAGGCAAATTAGAGCAATTGGAAGGAGGGGCACTGTTTTCAAGTGTGTGCCCCCCGCCTCGCTCCTGCATGGAAGCTGTTCTGGGGATGTGGTGAAAGCTGTGCGGACCCTTTCGCTTTGAAATGACGTAATTTTACTTAGAATAGGTATACACTATCTATTATAATGGGGTCTTATGTCGGTGACAGTTCTAAGAAATGATGTCATTTACAGTTTTACGTTTATAAATATATTATGCGAGACGTTAAGTGTTGGATTCTCTGCATCCATTTTATCTCAACTCAATTCTGCTGCATCGACCACGCGAATTGTGCAACATAGTTACCCCGGTTTTGACTCTGATATGTACCTCTTTCTCTTTCTCTTTCTCTATCTCTTTCTCTTTCTCTATCTTCTCTTGTGGCTCGTTGCCGATATCATAAGCTGGCACAATTGCCTCTGTCGCTCTATGCAGGTCATTTACGCTTGTCCAGCCGTTGGTCCAACCGTTAATCTGGTTATTCGTGTCGCCCTCTTCAAAATCCTGGTGGTGCATCTCTTCGTTGTCAATTGAAACACGCCCAGAGTAGAGCTTCTGTTGCTTATCAAAGGGACTACTGTTACTTATCTTGCGCTTCGAGAGCGGCTGAGCGTCTTTCGACTTGTTCGCACTGAAGGTCCAACCTGGCGCATACGGGTGTGGACTGGTCACTCGCTTGGACTCCTCCTGTGTGACATTGTGTGCATTGTTGTTCGGTGTAATGACTTCCATGGTTGCGTCAGAGGCAGTCGATGTCGATGTTACTACCATATACACATACGATTCAAGAGACCATTCATACCACGTATACTTGCCATTGTGGCGCCGTGACATCATCACAGACAGCTCGGTGTCATCGCTTACCAACAACGGTTGGGACAATGGGAAAATCATCGGTGACCACGATGTTAGCCCCGGTGTCTTGTCTATCTTCTTGAAATAGTACTTGTTGTCATTTGTATGTGCACTCTTATCAGGTGTAGAGTGAAGGGCCTCGCCTTCATGGTTGTTTTTACTCTGAGGTACGCGGACGATTGTCCCTTCTGGTACTATTGACAGAATTACGTCTCCATACAACACAGCAGAGAAATACCCAATCAAAGCATTAACCTCGGCACGATGCTTGATCTTAAACTCTGAGACTATGTCATGTTGCAAGTTACTGGCTTCAGACATTGGATGCGAGAATGTCCACAACTCGTTCACCTTTGACGACAATGTCTGATATGGTATGTTATGCAACACCCATGGTTGCTGTGTGACATTGACATGTAAATCCTGTTTACACATCTTCTGCAGCTGCATGTCCAAAACGGGACATGCAATGGGTGCTATATATGAACTGTATGATTGCGGAATGTACACTGTCTCCTTCTGCGAATGGTACTTTTGCAGTGATAGTAGACACTCCGGTGACAATTCGTTACATCCGAAAGATCCCAGCAACTCAGATATACATAGATCCACCTTTGTCCTTTGAGATTCGGCCATGTTGATTTGCCAATTTTGTATATCCTCATTAATTAACGTGACTCTATTCTGCCACTTATCAAAGTTCCTCTTTTGTAAGTACAAGTAAGCACGAGAGTTCTTCTCGATGGCAATTACTCGACATTCAGAAAGGATACTCAATTCTTGTAATACTTTAAAGACGCGATCTACTAATGGACCACGACCTGCACCTGCTACTAAAATTGTAATAAAACTGCTTCCTCGGTTCTTCCATATCTTTGTGTTCTCTAGTATCGCATCTTTAATGGCAACCTCGTAGAGATCATATTTGACAATGTCTTCTTCAAATAAAGCGTATGTTTGATTGCTTAGGTCCTCACTATGTGGTTTTAGTTGGGGCAAGATTCTCGGTTCGGCCAGTTTCTCGCATGCTTTTAGCATCTTACTCATATTTTGTAAAATTAGCTTATCTCCCTTTTTCAGTATAAAATTGATGTAGTTTATAAATGATGCTTTACCACCTTTGACATCGTTGGCAAACTTCTCAAGCCCATGCATTATGATGCACAGTTCATTTTGACCAAGCATATTTCTACCATTTATTTCCTGGAATCTGAAAATTATGTTTTGATTATATTTTTGTAGTACTGGGAAGCCATGCTGGTTGGTAACAAATATAGAAGACGACAACAAAAGACAAGAGACAGGCTCTGTAAGCCATCTCTCTAGGACATGTGTTGGCGTTTTATTTTTCGGAAGTGCCAAGGACACCGTCAAACACTCATGGGCACCACATAGATTTTTTATTGTGTTCCAAAGCTCCCATGTGGCCAAAGGATCACTCAATTCACAGAGCGGTAGCGATATCGATAAAGTCAATTGCGGCATCTCGGTGACCACGGGATCGTTCAATAAGTCTGCCACCATTCTAGCATATTTCTGTATCTCCAGGACGTTCTTCGGAGGTGCCACTATAAGCTTTGAAACACCTATGAACCTAGAATATTTACATTCATTCAATAGGACCTGGAATGCCACATCTCTCAGCACTGGATCAGCGGTCTCTAGGTCCAGCCACGAGGCCAACAGACCAATGTATTGCTTCGGGTCGTCATTGAAAGGCGGTATACCAATTTCCTGCAGCTGCGGTTCAGGCACATCTATCGAGTAGTGGTCCAGCGGATCACCACTCTTGCGATTCTCACTGATCACACGGCTCACTATCTCCCTATACCGTCCGTTAGTCACGGGAGCCAGTATATAATCAACATCATCCTTCAAGTCCGTCTCCGTACCATTGACAGTGCCAACCATGGGCTTAACACCAACAAACACATTGCTCTTCATTAGCCCTATATATGTTTCGCCCAAAACTAATTCAACTATACAAATACCAGCTTCTATAGTATCTCCTAGGAAATAACCAAGACCGAAAAAGAGAAAGAGTGTCTAGCAGAATTGCCCCTATTACCGTCTGCTCTTTTTATACAAACTCTCAATGTGTATACACTATATAATTTAACATCTCTTGTATGTGTGTATATGCTACTTAGAAATCGGTTATACTATGATTTGAACAAAATTTACTATAATACAGCAGTCAAACACACAGAAACCCCCGCACCAACCCATTTTGAAAAAAAAAGTTTTGAACAAAAAGCAAACTTTGTGAGTTGCGGGTTTAGGGTTCACTAAATATAGATGCTGGAAGCCCTAACTTGTTCTTTGCTGTCTTGCGTCGCTTCGTTGGATTTTCTTCTCAGAGTTGCGTCTGGGAAGGGACGCGTGAAAGCCAGGAAAGAGAGCTTCTCCCCTCGAAAAAGCTTGGTGAACAAATGTGGGTTCCCTGAGCCCTAGGGTTTGGACTTTCCTCCGTATCTTTCACGCGTTCTGGGCGACTTGTGATCAACTGGAACCAGTGTGACGGTGGGAACAACTATGGTACAAGAAGTATTTCAGAGGTAATTTCGATTGTCAGCGTGATATCTAATTTGGATTGTGGTCAAGCCATTAAGGAAAAGATAATAATAGACTGATGTACAATCATTACCATACGTTCGAGGGCCGCAAGCTCACGGAGCAAGAGCGTGCTAGGGTGCTCGAGTTCCAGGAATCCATCCACTACTCGCCGAGATACAGCGACGATACGCACGAATACAGACATGTCATGCTGCCTAAGGCCATGCTGAAGGTGATACCCTCGGACTATTTCAACTCTGAAGTGGGTACTCTGCGTATCCTCACAGAGGATGAGTGGAGAGGTCTTGGGATAACACAGTCCTTGGGGTGGGAGCACTACGAGTGCCATGCACCTGAACCACATATCCTGCTGTTCAAGAGACCACTGAACTATGAGGCAGAATACAGAGCCGCCGCTGCAGCAGCTGCGGCTAGCCAACAACATCAACAGGATAAAGAGTAAGAATAGCAAATACCACTGCTATTGCTAGCATTCGTAAGAGTTTCCAAAGCGAAATAATTACTCAAAAAATTTATAAGAATTTCATTACAAGCATCACCAATATGTGAAAGTCAGGTATAACTGAGGGTAGTTCATTTGAAAGTTTGATAAATCCGAATCTGAGAAATAGAGGTGACAATTCAGCAATGTATGTGCGTATGCTTCCATAACTGTGCGCAACGTACTTCACATACACACTTGTAATTACTATTGTTCCATCATTACTGCTGTCCTAACCCCTCATAGCAACACAATCACGGGCTACCTATTAACCAGTATTTGCTATTTCCTTGCAATAGCATACAGAAAAATGCAATAGCAGTATAAACTCAATACATAATTACATACTAATGAACATAAACATGCATTTACAATTGATTTACATAGCTGTTTCATCATGCTCTTGGTCGCTAATGAAGTTAATATACTTGATACTATTATGCTTTCCTTTTCCTATATTATGTCATCTCCGGGTCAAGTGTAACCGAGCTAGCGAAAAAGCACATCTTTTGAATTGACAGATCTCGCACGCTTATAGATAGTATGTCATATAAATACAAAGCAGTTAATAAGCAACTTTACCTTTGACCTACAAAACTAATAAGGTGTACATCGCGTGATTGCTATATTGTTGAAAGGTTGAATCTGAGATCTTTCAAAGCTACTCATTGTTTTATTGATGGAATCACAAATTCGGTACATCGATGAACTTATTGCAGGATTTAATGGATCATGCAAGATAGAAAGAGTTAACGAAGGTAATTGTGCTGCTCAGTCAAGTAACACTGAAGAAAGAAAGTTGATACAGGCGGTGCAGGCGCTGTTGAGAATCCTAAATGACCTTAATCACAACTCTGCAGATCTAATATTTCAAAAATGTCTTGGTGGGTTGGATAGGATCTTGCACCATAATCCATACATCATGGCGTTGTCAATCTCATCAGAAGATAGTGGAAATTTGATGATCATGGATTTAATTGATAAAATGCTAGGCTTAACTGAAAGGTGCTCCTATAACATTCATAGGATGTGGTATATACGAAGAAATATTATTCGGTGGATTACTTCCAGTACAAGATTGTTTGGATCAGATTTTAAACGCATCATTAATTTGAAAATAAAGAAAATACTAAATGAGTTAGAGACTAAATGTAAACTGTTTCTCTTCACACATCAAAATGTAGAACCACAAGAATTCATATCTACATTGACACTATTGCATACAATATTATACTGGATAAGTGCAGATAGCAATAAACTTGGTGATTATTTCTATTGGATACAAGGTTCATCTTCTCTTAATGAGTGGGACTTGCATTTCCAGAAATATATTAGGATAGCCATGTATCTTTTTACCTCGTTTCAAATAAAAATCGATGCAAATAGTTCTTATTTTGAAAAATTTAACCTATTACAGGCCAACTTTATTATGCTGGTTGCTAACTATCAGACTTCTAGGACGCTCTCTGGCGGCTTCAACTCGATAGCTATATCGATACAACATTTAAAGTTTACTTTGGAAGTAATAAGTGAATTTATGAGAAACAGGAGCTTTTTATCGAAAAACGAAACTTTAATAACCAAGTCTTTGCTCAAAATTTACTACCTAAGTGTCTGTAAAGCATCATCTAATAAAAATGACATATTGAGTATATTCTTAGATTACATTCCAGTCGTTGAATGTATAAATTCAAAACATCAATTTAATGAAAATTATGACTCCGAACTAGAGCGTTCTTTATTACTACTATACTTTGATATGAAACGCAGATATGCTGATCCCGATGAATTACAGTTTATAGATTCATTTGATATCTGGTCCCACCCAGATTGTATAGATGAAGTCTCTATTATTACGCAGCCCATTAAGAAAAACAGCAAACAAATTGAGAAACTGCAGAGAAGTATTTTGAAATCATACACTGTAAACATAAAGCAGATTCATTCGTTTCTCTTCAAGGAGTTAAATAGCTTAGAACCAGGTATTCTGGACAGAAACGGGGACCATTATAAGGCTGTTGTAAAGGAAATATCAATATCGATAAAAAGATCACTTAAAATAAGAGATTCCAAAAAAATTATAACGTGGCTAAGGGTGCTATCACGCATGGCTTGCATAGAAGACAAGCTTATCAATACTAAACAAAACATCTCAGAGTTTTTTCATACTACTAATGATTTTTGCAATTATTGTGATTCTATTCATGATGGTAATTTCTTGAACAACATTGAACCATCTAGACCACTGGCACAAGATCAATCTGAAATCTTCTCAATGATAAACAAGTACTTCATATTAAACCCTGATTTAAAGAAATTTTCGATGTCAATAAAATGTGGTCTTTTTATTGTTATTGAAAGAATCTTTGCTCATTTTCAACCAACAGCATTAATGAATGAAAACAACCAAATTGCTCCACTATTTTCATTCATAGAAGACTCCTTTATTGATTCAGATAGACATGTTAGATTACTTATATGCAAAATACTCCCACTGTGGAATACTAGCAACCATAACAATTCTGAAGACGAAATGAGCATGCATCTAATACAGTTTCTTCAAAAAGTAAATAGCCCATTATTGTTAGAGACTGTTGTTCTTTCTTGGAGTAAAATAACGTTAACTACTCATGGTGATGTTTTCGATACCCTTCTCCTTAAGTTAATTGACCTTTTCAATTCCAATAATTTTACATTGCATATTATGATGAAGGAGCAATTAATTAGGATGTCCAGTTTATTAAACAAAACACCTTATCAGCTACTTTCTCCAGTTCTTCCCATAATATTGAGACAACTTTCAAAAAACCTAAATGAAAAGAAACTCAGCTTTCAGCGCTTATGTGATCTAGTTGGATACACTGGGAAGGTCATACTGGATATATTCCAGAAATACGTCATACCATATGCTACTGTTCAATACAAGAGCGATGTATTTAGTGAAGTTGCTAAAATTATGTGTGATGATGACACTTCAATGCTTCTGCAACAGAAACACAATTTATTAACTAAAAATAGTAGACAAATATTTGCAGTTGCTTTAGTGAAACATGGCTTCTTTTCATTAGACACTATGGAAACTTTATTCTTAAATCGTGTTCCTTCTTATGATAGAAGATACATCGGGGCATATTTGCCAGACTACAAAACGCTTGCAGAAGTCACTAAGCTTTATAAGAATAACGAGATTACAGATTCATCGGACATCGAGAACGAGAATATGGTTCTTTGTTCTTTGAGATATTTGATAACTAACTTCGAAAGTGACAAACGGCACGGTACAGAATACAAAGACATAAACAAATGGTCGGATAAGAAAGAAAATCAATTTCAAAATAATCTTCAAGATAATATTCTGGGAATATTCCAAGTCTTTTCAAGTGATATGCATGATGTTGAAGGTAAAACTACATATTATGAGAAACTAAGAGTGATTAACGGTATTTCGTTTCTTGTAAAGCACGCCTCGAATAAATGTATTATCTCAGCACTTGCTCAATTGAGTATCTGTCTTCAAAGTGGTTTAGAAATTCCAGAGGTCCGGTATCTTTCAATGAGATGCTGGTTTTTACTTATTCAAAGACTGAATGAAGAGGAACTCACAACTGTTATAGATGCACCAGTAGCATTTATACTCAGGAAATGGCCAACTTTCAATAAAAAACTTCAATTGAAAGCGTTGGAAGTGTTAACAGCTTTAATCAGGACTAAAAATAGCCTATTAATGAAAATGAAGCCATATATTAGTATATCACTCTTATCCAATGAGTCAATACCTATTTTGGATATTGACACGAACTTTTCAAGACAGGCTGCAAGACTACGAAATACAATTGATTTGGTTCCAATATTTGTTAAGAACCTACAGAGTAATAACAAATTTGTCATTGAACAAAACCTCGATGACATAAAATTTCATCTGAAAAGAAGGCAGGGGGAGCTTCTACAATATGACAAATATGGTAATCTACAACTAAATGCAGTTCCTTCTTTAATTGGCGCTCTATTAGAGGTTGCTCATAAATATAGGACTATTGATCATGAGATCTGCAAGAAATGTGCCAAGTGTATTAGTATGGTTGGTGTTCCAGATATTCGAAGAATTGATCTGAGAGGTGATCGAAAGGAAAAATGGAAGGTATTTGACTTCAATGACTACTCAAAAACTACAGAGTTTCTAATATGGCTTATTGATGACATCTTAGTCCCCTCTTTTTGGCAAAGTGAGAATCCGAACAAGCAACTATTTTTTGCTTTAGTAATGCAAGAATCACTAAAATATTGTGGTCTGAGCTCTCAATCATGGGATATAAATGAACCAGATAAATTTCCAGAACAACTTGAACTTTGGAATAAGTTCAATTCCATATCAAAAACCACATTATATCCACTTTTATCATCATTATATCTTGCCCAATCTTGGAAAGAATATGTGCCAATCAAATATCCTTCCTTAAACTTCCGAGATGGTTATAAAACCTGGATAAAAAACTTTACTTTAGATCTATTGAAAACTGGGACTACTGAGGATCATCCGTTGCACGTATTCTCTTCATTGATAAGGGAAGATGACGGATCATTATCCAGTTTTTTATTACCATATATTGCGCAAGATATTATTATCAAGGCACAATCAGGAACCGAATATGAGTCACTTATGGATAATATTCTCATTGAGCTCCAGTCTGTTGTGACATATGAAATTGATGGTCTTAATCATCTTCAAAGAGATTCTCTGAAGATGTGCTACGAAGCTGTTTTCTCAATTTTGGAGTACTGTAAAAAATGGGCTACAATGTTCAGACAAGATTACAATAATGCAAATGGAACGTTCCTAATTAAAGAAGATAAATACTTGAAAATGTTGAAAAGAATAGATTATTTTATAAACTCCATCCCTCTTGATCTTTTAGCGAATAAATCACTAGAAACAAATGCATTCGAGAGGTCGGCGCTTTATCTAGAGGAATGCTATAGGCATAGTGATATCCATGATAGAAATTTAAATAGTACGCTGAAGAGTCTACAAATGACCTATGAAGAAATTGGAGATATCGATTCCATTGATGGACTACTTAAATCTTTCGCCAGCACCAGCTTTGAAACAAAAATTGAAGAACTGCAATATTCTAATAAGTGGCAAATGGCTTTAGAATGTTTTGATATTTTGGCTGATATTACTAAACATGATAGCACAGCACAGATAATGACGAAGTCAATGTTTGATCATCATTTATACAAAAACGTAATTCAAACTGTTCCCAAACTTGTTCCAGATAATATTCAAAAACTAAATGAGAGTAATACAAATTTATTGATAAGAGCTTTAGAATCATCCATTCTAGAAGGCGATCTAAAGAGTATTGAAAAATGGTCTAGTAAAATTGAATTGATGACAACTATAAATGATCCTGAATTGACTTTGCAGTATAATCTTGGAAAAGCACTCCTTTCAATTTCTAAAGGTAATCACATCAAGGCAGGGCAATTCTTAGACAACTGTTATCAAATTACTGGAATTCAATATACTTCGACATCTAACTCAACCACTCTGTTGAAGACACAATCCTTACTGACTAAACTACACGGGCTACATGATTTAAATATGTTAAATTTCAGTAAAGACGACTTTGAACTGCAATCAAATATGCAGCTATTAGATTTAAGGAGAGGAAAAGTGGGTCCTGATTTTGATCCGAATTATTATATCCTATCTATCAGGAAGACTTTTGATAAAATACACAAAAATCCTATAACCAAAACTGATCTTGTAGATACTTACTTTGCTATAGCACAAGAAGCCAGAGTAAATTCGAGATTAGATATTGCATCAAAAGCCTTAATATTTTGTCTCGAAAAGGGTCATCCTTATTCTGAACTTGAGTTTGCAGAAATTTTATGGAAAGATGGGGAGAATGACCGAGCTCTAAAATTAGTTCGTGAAATTAATCAGAAGAACGAGAAATCTAGCTCTGTTTCTGTTAGGAATAAGGCAGAAGTTCTATTGAAGTACACTGAGTGGCTAGACATATCAAATAATTCTGCCTCTGAACAAATTATAACACAATACAAGAACATCTTTGCTCTTGAGCCTGAATGGGAGCAACCGTACTATTCAATTGGTTTATATTTTAGTCGGTTGTTGGAACGCCGGAAAGCAGAAGGATATGTATCTGATGGTAAATTAGAATTCAAATCCATTTCATATTTTTTGCTGGCTTTTGAAAAGAATACTGTCAAAGTGCGAGAAAACCTTCCTAAAGTAATAACATTCTGGCTAGATACAGCTGCTGCTGTTATCACTGAAACATCCCCAAACAGGAATACTATACTAAAGAAAGTAACAACTGACATTTGTAAACAAATTGAAACAGCTATTAGAAATTGTCCAACGTACATATGGTATTCGGTTCTTACACAATTGCTTTCCCGTTTATTACATCCTCACTTATCATCTGCTAAATTAATAATGCACATTCTTCTAAGTCTAGCCGTTGAATACCCTTCACATATTTTATGGCACATATCTGTATTGTGTCAATCTAACTCTTCTAAACGGGTTAAATGTGGTCAAGATATTTTAGAAAAATTTAGAGCACATTCAGACAATCAGGAAGACATTATAAACTCCTCAATTTATCTGACTTCCTCGTTAACTAGAATCTGTTTACAGGAAGTAAAGTCATCGAGTAGTAGATCTGGCCGTTCATTAGTTAGCGATTTTAAGTTCGATGTTAATATTGCTCCTACACCAATGACTGTTCCTGTAAGAAAGAACCTAGAGATGATATCTCCACTTTCTGCAGAGACTATGAAATCTTATCAACCCTTTCGACCAACCGTCTCTATCGCAAAATTTGCTTCATCATACAAGATATTTTCTTCACTGAAAAAACCCAAAAAAATTACTATTATTGGATCGGATGGTATGCTCTATGAAATTATGTGCAAAAAAGAAGATGTTAGACAAGATAACCAATATATGCAGTTTGCAGCCACAATGGATTTCTTGCTAAGCAAAGATTTAGACTCCTCTAAGAGAGACCTAGGAATTACCGTTTACTCAGTGCTATCGTTGAGAGAAGATTGTGGTCTGCTTGAGATTGTTCCTGATGTTGTTACGCTGAGGTCAATATTTACCACAAAGTATGAGAGTAAAAAGATTAAGTATAGCATGAAAGCCCTGTATGAAAAATGGCAAGGGCTTGCGGACGAACTAAAGCCCGTTTTCTTCAATGAGCAAACAAAAAAATTCTCACCTGTGTTACATGAATGGTTTTTGGAAAATTTCCCAGATCCAATCAATTGGTATAGAGCAAGAAATTTGTATTCTCGATCATATGCTGTTATGGCAATGGTTGGTTATATACTAGGACTTGGTGACAGACATTGTGAAAATATTCTGCTGGATATTAAAACAGGTAAGGTTTTACATGTCGATTTTGATTGTCTCTTTGAGAAAGGTGAAAACCTACCTGTTCCTGAAATTGTACCCTTCAGACTGACTCAAAATTTACAAGATGCACTTGGGATTCTGGGAACTGAAGGAACTTTCAAGAAGTCCTCTGAAGTAACTCTTTCTTTAATGAGACAAAACGAAGTTGCTCTAATGAACATTATTGAAACTATTATGTATGACAGAAACATGGATCACTCAATTCAAAAGGCTCTTAGAAAACTGAGAAATAAAATTCGAGGCATCGATCCGCGCGATGGATTGCTGTTGAGTGTCTCGGGCCAAGCTGAGACATTGATCCAAGAAGCTACTTCAACCGAGAACCTCTCCAAAATGTATATCGGATGGTTACCGTTTTGGTGATATTAAATGAAAACATATGGTTATTAGTGTTGATGGTGATCATCATAAAATATAATGATTATGGGATTTCAAATGAAATTAAGATAAATACACTCATTACCTTATTAGTAGCTTAGATAGACGTTTTATATAACACTAATAAGTGAGCGTATATTTATGCTATTAGTCGTTGTATTATTATGTTGCTACATCGTCGTTACTGGCCTATAAAAAGTCAATAATTGAAGAGCAGGATCCATAAGCTTTGTGGCATGATTCCGTTCGAGAGATTTCGTTCGAGGGGTTTCGTTAGTTTGACATTTTCCCCTTATTCTAATAGTTCATGACATTTCATTAACACAAATGTCTGCATTTGTACTATATAATATTAAGAAATTTGGAATGTATTTAGCTGATAGATTAATTTATCACATCTTGATCCTTTTATCTATTGTGAATTAGCAACTAAAACTACAATACGAATTACTGTGGTCATTAAAATTGCAAAATTTTGAATTATATAGCAAATATGAAGCTGGATGGTACTCTGTTGACTAAACTGGAAAAGGGAAAGCTATCTCTCGAAGAAATAGATAAGTTAGAGAAGAAATGTTTCTTGAGCAAGTTTGATTCTGAAGATGCCTATGAATTAGGACAATTCGTGAGAAGAGAAGTGGCAGAAACCTTTCCAAACAAAGCTGTTGCCATCAATATATCTTTGGTAAACGACCATGTTCTCTATCACACTGTTGTCGGTGTTGCCTCTAATGACAATGATTACTGGATCTCCAGAAAAAAGAAGACTGCCTTAAGATTTGGCCATTCCAGTTATTATATGAGAATTGCCAAGGGTGATAAGACCCCACAAGAGAAGTTCTTCGTAGACCCTAAAGACTATGCCTTCCATGGTGGCGCTGTACCAATCTTCTTGGAAAACAGTGACTACCCAATTGCCATCTTAACTGTTAGTGGATTGAAGCAACACGAGGATCACTTATTTGCTGTGACATCCATTATTGAATATGCTAACAAATCGAGAGAAGCAACTTTGAATTTGGATTAATGAAATCCAAACTTGCTTCTACAATTTAAATCAACATTCTTTGTTGAGCTGAAAGAACTTAATATCTCTTAAGATCTTTACGAAGTTGATTACGAACAGAATTTTACAGATAAAAACAATAGATATTCCAAGAATAACGTATTTTACACATTTAAGTAAGTTATAATGATGTTATAGACCTTAATAATATGATTGAAATTTACCATAAAACATATAGTGGTAAAGAAAGAGTAATGATAAACAAAAAATTACGATAGTGTACTTCGATTTCTTGCTTAGTACACAACTATGGCGCTGAAGGTGAAATACTGGTACGATTTCATGATAGTAGTTGCTTGAGTTCCAGACCTCCAAAAACTATCCACACAGTTAAATCATAAACAGAAAATCACCATAGATAGAAAAACATTGAAATAGCACTAACACATAATATTATTGCAAATATCATGAGAGTGTAGTTTTTCATGCGGCGCCACCACATCCTCTCTTTCAGTTTGATTGCTTTACGTTTAAAGCTTCGACTATTGCTATTCAGGTGAGATGTCTTATCAACTAAAAGAGAAACTCTTTCTTGTCGTTCAAGGAATTTATCGATATTATCATTCATTATTTGTATTACTTCTTGCATATCATCTTCAGCTTCATTACCACCCTTGATACCATTTTGATTTTTGTACTGTATCAATTCGTTGTGGAAATTATCTAATATGTTCCCAACACAAGCACTGAGTTTATTATCATTATCAATTTCATGGGCCTCGTTGTGCTTCAATTCACTTAAAACCCTAATAGGTAATATCTTGGGTATGTCCTCCCTAGTAAAACAGACAAGTACGGTGTTGGCATCATCGTCACGAGTAGTATAATAACAGTCAAAACCGTCTATCAGAGGAGTAGACATCTTAGTAACTTTGTTACCTGATACCGGTATTACCTTTGGAACAACCATGTCGACCACGAGGCTATGGAAAATATCTGGCCTGCATGCACCTTCATTTGTTGCTCCATATGTTGATGAATCGTTCTCGTAACAACTACTCACCGAAACACCATTTTTTATTATCTCCACATAGGAAATGTTGAACCGCTTCATATTGATATAGCACCGACTATAACCTTTATGTTATGACTACTGCTATTCTACCAATGTAGTTGTTTCAATATGTAATATATGGATATTTACCTATCCAAATGCCAAACAGTTGAGTGTCCTGAGGGATAGTAAAAAATTCTTGTCCTAATTGAAATTATTCACCTGTGAGGGCTGTTGTTCAGCTTCAAGCCTATAGTTTTTAGGTTACTATCTTTAGACCAATTTGAATCTCGGTAGCCAGCGCGGTCGGTTCAGGAAAAGGGGAACGTTCAAGGTCTGAGGGTTCATTGTTCAAAGCATTGAGTTGAGTCGATGCCGATTGTTCTTGTGTTGGGCATTTCAGGGTATCCGATGGTCGTTCCTGAATTTTTGGGAAAAATGTGTCGTTATTTAGCATATGACTGTGCAGCATAATATGGTGAGCATCAAATGCTATATAGAAATGAGTCAGGGTAGACTGGATGTTGCCATTATATATTTAAACATATGTATTTTATAATTCTATAGAGTTCTTGTTCGTTAAAATTCATGATATAAATATAAGCGTGTACCTATATGTTTGGCGATTCACATGTTGAACATACCAATGATTGATTCGAAGTCGTTCTGAAGCTGCCATCATTGAAATCGGCTATCACACCAACCTTTAACAACATATTGAATTTCCTTATTTGGACCTTTACTTGTTAATTTAAGTTTACCGCATGGTTTCAGCATTCTAGTACCAGATAACTCAGAAGATAGGTCTTCATTTGTAGTCCATGGTTTAACTTCGGATTTTAATCTAACCAGTGACACTCTTCTCTCTTCCGTACTATTGTCGATATTAGCTACAGGATCAGTATCTTGGACCACAAATTTCATATTCCAAGGCGTGTGTTCCCCATACAGATCTCTTCTAGTTTGATGCAAAAGATCTGACCATAGTTTTTTCTTGGTTATAAGAGCAATTTTAATATCCTTAGGTGCCACATCTGTCTCGTGTATGTCTAAATTCCAAATATCTTTATAAGACAATTGTTGTAAAACGCTCTCGTCAACATTTACCTCCGGTATCAAGCTCTTATAAGTAGCCGATGTTTTAATCGAGTACAGCTTTAGAAAATTACCATTTAGAGAGTTAGCCCGCACTCTTTTGTCTGATAACAGCAATGGTACCAAATCATGCTGTTGATTTGAAGATTTTTCCATATTATCCCTAGTCAATTTGTTTGACTTCGAACTAGGGGCAAAATTAGCTTCTGGCCATGACTCAAGTTCTACGGAGTCTTTTCCATATATGATATTACTAGCAGCACTATACGGACTAGTTTTAATAGTCATTTGTCCTTGTGTCGGTTTCATTCCAGTGAAACTTAGGTCCAACGAGTTTCTCCTACCATTTTCCTGCACTCTATGACTTATTGAAATAGAATCGTTATCAGTAATTCTTTCTAGGCTGGAAACAGGTTTAACATAGCCATAGCTTCTGTGAAAAATAGGTGGCAATACTTCTGATAATTCATCAACTTTCCAATGATCGTTCAAGTCTAGGTCGTCGATATTTATTATCTTTAGCTTTGGTGCCAAATTATCGTCAATTATTTTTCCTATATCTGTGCTATTGTCTTCATTATGTGAGTTCATTTTATCAGGGGTCATTTCTTCTGTCAGAGGATGTATTTCCATCGTGGCGATTGAAAGGTTTGATATATCTTCGTCTCTACTGAAACTTAAGTCTTCTGCATCAGAAAGGGTATCTAATTTCAGACTTTCACGGAAGTTAAAGCCAGAGTCAGTATTAATATTACAGTTGTGAGTTTCGTCGGATAATTTTCTCTTCAATAAAATACCACTATCGGTTGGTTTTAGATGTGGGGAAGTACTACCAGTGTTTTCTGATTTTGCAAGTAAGTCGACAGAGGCCTTATTGGACAAATTATTCGAGTTTTTGATCTGTGATAGGACTGAGTTTAATGATGGAGTAATGTTTGTAGTGAAAACGACATTTTCTTCGGAATCCTTATTCTTATTGTTGTTCAATGTAGGTGTTTCAGTCTTATTTCTCTTGATGCTTCTTTTCCTCCTTGTATACCTAACTTTACAACCACTAATACTTGGTGTATTGTTATCATGGTCATCAAACATATTAAAACTTTGCCTCCTAGTACCACTAAAAGACAAATGTCGTGTACTTGAGAGTGATGAGGTGCTTTTACATCTTCTTGTGTGTAGCAACGGATGCGACATGATCGCTGTAGTAGAGTCTATGTGCACTCGCGGATAGTACATATCTCTTATTAGCTGTAGCCGCAAATTTGTAAACACGTATTTATCCGATGGTCTGCTTTTTGAAACTGATAATTCTAATTCTGATTATAATGTATGCACGATTCAAAAAACTTCACCAATAGATCACCTTCACTAAATGTATTATTACAGTCCAATACTAATATAGCTGTAGTTCAGAAGATGGATATCTAATAATTGCAATTTCTATTAATTTATGGGTCGTGTCGTAAAACTTTTGGAAGCAACTGAAGATCAGTATAAGATACAACTCAACTGTCTTTTGAAAATGTGGCAATCTGTTCAACTGCCCCAGGCCCAAATTTATAAGACGGAGCTCAACAACTAATTGTAATAGATCAAATCTAATACTTGAGCAAAGGAGAAAGTACCTGATTTCTGCCAAGATGCTCTTTGAAACGTGTTGATCCTAGAGGAATGGCTGGAGCAGCTTTTCATCAGGGCTTTCGTAGCTCCTTAGGCCCCCGACCAAGAAAATGTGCCAAAACTATGAATTCTTGAGCTGGCAATTAGATCATCAAGAACTAACAAAACACTGTGAGCCGGATTGTTCCCTTCATACTAGCTTGTCCCTTACCCAGCATATCGTTGCTAAATACTTGTGGACGTATCAACATCAAGCTCCAGAATAAGATACAGTGTGATAGTATTAATACTGTATTTTGGTTGCAGCTGAATGTATTTTTTACTATTGTCGATATACAGAGTGAGTAATACATTTACTATGTGTAGTATTAAAGATTATTCTTCAATGATTGAATAGAATAATGATATGTGGGCCTTTGTATTTACAATGTCTATATAGTAGGCTTTATTTATGCTAAGCAAGATAAAACGTAAAGATCATAGTATAGTATAGGGAGAAAGGTCATGTATATTACAACAGCACACAAAATGTATTATCACATTTTTGTATAACAGTCATGACTTTATGAATTCAATCATGTGTACTAGCAATCAGACTAAACGGTTAATCTTAATTTCACAAGCTATCGCTAGGTGGTGCGAAACGTTGGTGCGCTTGTGACTGGGCGTCAGTAATTGGATGTTCTGTGGTGGGGTGAATTTCCAATTGAGTGGCAGATACGGCTTGAAAGCCATTCATCTGTGTATGTCCGACAAAATTATTAGGCATGGCATTAACATTATGTGTAATAGTTGGCACTTCAGGCTGGACATTGTTAATCGGTAACTGTGGGCTGTTATACATACTTGCTTGTTGGATGTTATCCATCGGTACCTGTTGCGCGTTCATAATAGGTAGCTGCTGGTTGCTGTTGAGGGCTTCTTCCTGAGTAATAGGATTGACAACCGGGGAGACTTGCGGTAATTGATTGCTTACAGGTTGATGAGTTGCAAAACTGTTATGCATGCCATTATCTATTGTAGATGTAGGATTCGTTACTTTTGTCTTGAATGAAGATGTATTACCGTTGGAATCATTGTTGCTCAACTGAGCTTGTGCTTTTTTCAATTCCTCCTTCTCTCTCTTCTTTTTCATTCTGTATTCAAACTGCTTCTTCTGCTTTAGTCTAATAGCTTGTAACTCCGGTATAAAACTGGATCTAATACTACTTTCGAAATTTTCCATGCACCAACCACAAACAAACAAGGTAAACTCACCAAGAGGCTTTCTCTTATCCACGGGTCGATTATACTGGACTTCAGGTTCTCTTGATTCCTCTCTTGAATCTGCAGTGCGTGCCCTCACTGATCTTCTACTTGGTAGAATTGAAGGGAGCGGAGCAGTCGATGCGTAAGAAACTGCTGCGAGATCTTTTTCAGTAAGTTGGTGGTCTATATTGTCATTTAACATGGAAGGCTTTAGCGAAGCATATGTCAGAATTTCTGTAATTTTTGAAGGTTGGTGAGCCCAATGTTGCCATCTGAAACATTCAGCACAACATACTAAAGAATGGTTAACAATCCTAGGGTCTTCTGGTTCTTTTTCATGTGATACCAACGTTGTGACAGGTTCTGTTTCACCAGGGCAATCAAAGAGCCAGTCCTGGATGTCAAGTTGTTCATTATCGGTTGGTAAACCTTCCTTTTTCCTTTCTTCAATATCTTCATTAGTGATACAAAGGTTACTTGGAAGTTCAGTCAAATTAGGCAGTACTTCTTTTAATTCATCTGTTATGTGGCTAGGTGGCATGCTTACTACATTTTCTTTAAACACTGGGTTATCATTTATAATTTGCCAATCCATGGGTCCCAACGGATCTTCATCTGAGGGTCCAAAGCTGTCAGTATTTAGTCTAGGGTCATTTCTTCTGCGTAGCTTCTCTGTTTTCAACTCCTGTTCAAATTTATACCATATTTCATTTCTAATCACATCTTTGACCTTCTTTGCAAATTTCCCGACAACTCTATTTCTATGTTTTATGAATTGGTCTCTATCTGTTACTTTATCCAACCATTTATGCTGTTCTTCCTCCTTTTCAACTTCTTTTTCTTTGGCAACTAATCTCGAGGATCTCTTTCTTCTTGTCATTAGTTCTGCTAATGAATCTTCTTTTTCTTTCATCGTCATTGATTTAGAAGCGTAGAGTATATGTTCGATAAGATCAGGTATCATGGAGGTACAAAACTCGTTAATCTGTTTGTTCTTCTTGTGGTTACGCCAATACTCCAAGAATGATTCAAAATCAGTGGTCAGCACTGTGGTTTCAAATTTCACCGAATGCATGTAGTCATCTATCTCTTTTGAGTAATCCAAGTGGATGAGCTCTATCGATTTATCTGTTTTATTCTGAACCGTGCAGTTTTTCAATTTTATCGGTACTGCTAGCTCCTTGTCGTTGTCATCTCTGGTCAATTGACGCTCTATTAGGACCCCGATGGCCGGAAGTGCGATAAGATACCTGTGTTCATCGAGTTCTGTGTGGTAGAAATCGAACAGATCCAGGTAATTCGACAGGTAGTTCCTGAATGGTAAGTTTCTTGCCTCGATGAACTTGATCATCCTGTAAAGCACGTTGAATTGATCTGGCAAGCGCATGTCATCGAACTTGTCTGTGATCCCGACATGGTTCTCCAACAGCTCATCCCACTGGTCCATGGTAATGGACTTGTTGTTGGCTACATTTTTCAACAGGTTTAGTCTGATGTGTGGGAACACGCGATGGAAGTCTATCCACAGCAGGTTCTCGTCGAACTTCAGGTCCTTCCAGTAAGTCCTGATGGGTCCAGTGGTGTCGATGATGTATTCCGCAATGGACGAGTGCTGTGTTCTGAAGGACTCGCACACGTTGTAAAGCCAGGATAACACGTACTGGTACTCCCACGAGTGCACCAGCGCCTCTCGGTCCTCGTCGTCCGCCAACAGCTCGTACGGGATCTCCACCTTGGGCCTCACCTGCTTGTAGTACACGCGCAGCGTGTCCTCCGAAATGTACTGCTGCCAGTCTTCAATGGGTACTGGATCATCGCTGGCTTTCCTCTTGGTTCGCACAGACTGTGTGGACTGAACGGGTTCCACGGGTTCCACGGGCTCCACGACCTCGGCACTAGCCGCGCTGGCCACTCTCCTAGATCTTCTCATACTTATTTGCAAACAGTTGTCCCTTTATAAGGATAGCAATTGCAATGACAAAAGGCTAGGATACGAGTAAAACAGACCTTGCATCCGTAACAGATATACCAAACCGTGCGCAAACTCTATTTACACGCTGTTTACACACCGAGTGAGACGGGCCCCATCGCCCGCAGCATGAGAAGAGCCGGATTATGTGAAAAAGACATTATCGCTATATACTAGTCCAGGTCATATGTCCTCCGTAACACACCACTTACCACATGAGATATTTGTATACAGTGATATATAAGTCCGGGTAACCAATAAAATCCGGGTAAACTATAAATGACGGTGACGATGACAACCCGCAGCCAAGAAAAGCAGAAGCAGCAGAATGGAAGCGATCTGCCAAGAAGTCGTGGAAGCCGTGGAAGTCGTGGAAGCGTGGAAACGCGAACAGGGATCTAAACTGGCTGGGGCCGAGAGGATCGGCGGAGGGAAGCCTTTTTAGCTGAAAATTTGTACTTCGTCTAGCGGTACGTGTAATTCCAAGCCCATAAAACTCAAGATTTTGCTCTCCTTATATATAAACTGGAGGGGGATCCAACACGCCTGTTGTGGTTGCTTGAGTCCTCCAGAGGTATAACTACACAAACTACAAAAACTAGAATAATAGAGACATGCTGCTGCTGGCTATACTGCTATCTCTGTTTGCGCTTATCCGTGCGGATGTCAACATCGTTGAGCCTGGTCCCGGTGACACTTTCAGCGGTGCGGACGGTACAGTGTCCATTAACCTGAAGTGGGTCGACAACGGTGCGTACCCACCGTTGGACAAGGTCGCTTACTACCTGTTCAGTCTGTGTTACGGTCCCAACACCAAGATCCAGTGTGTGTACAAGCCCGACACCAAGATCACCCCGGATGACCTGGACAAGGACGACGCCGGCACGTACTCTTACAAGTTCGACATCCAGTCCTCGGTGGTCGGATCAGGACAGTTCTACGTGCAAGTGTTCGCCTGGGTCGACGGCCAGGGTTACACGCTGCACTACACCCCAAGAATCGAGCTGACCAACATGGGCGGACCAACTACTTTCGAACTGCTGACCTACACCGACACCATCCAGCCAGTGCCGCAGACTTCCATCAGAACAGGTACCGACACAAACACACAGAGCTTCGACGCAAGCAGTGTCTACAGCTTGCCTTACACTGAGCAAACCTTGAAGACTAGAGTCGCTCCAATCCAACAACAGCCAGGCACAAAAGTCACAGCAACGACTTGGAGCAGAAGGTACCCTACTAGTGCCGTCACATTCTACTCCACCTTTAGAAGCTCCTTGGATCAACTGTCAACTTTGACTCCAGCTTGGAACTACACAGTCTCAAGTGCTGTCAACTACGCTACTCCAGCAGCTATGCCTTCAGACAACGGTGGCTGGTATAACCCAATCAAGAGACAATCGCTGTCAACCAGAAAATTGAATGTTAGATATTTGTCCAGTTGATTGCTAGGACTATCTCAAACATAAAAGCATTCATTGCAGTTTACTGTTTCTTTTTTTTTCTTCGTGGTCGCATGTCCTCCCATCTTCCAAACGCTTGAGAAACGAGTCTGCTAAACCTGTTATCAAATTTGGGCATAGCTTTACACTTATAGAGATAAGTTACTGCCATCGGGAAGTACGTACGTGCAGTGTGTGGCTCTAAATTCATTACAAACGCTAAATAATGTAGAAAATAGCAATAACGTTTCCGATATTACACGTTTCGGAGCATGATTTTGCTTGTTGCCGCTAGCGAATTGAACTAATACTTTAGCTGCATATCGTTTCACCAAGTGAGCTGGAGAACAGAAAAGAAAAGCCATTCATTTCATTAGAATTATTATTTTTTTTATTTCATTTTTTTTCTAGTCACCATCATTTTTCATTTATATTTCATTGGGTTTTGAAAGTCTTTATAATTTTTGAAGACTTACTTTTATATATTAATACATATAATTTTTTAAAAAGTACAATCATTTTTTAGTAAATCTTTGGTTTATTATATTTATTTTAAGGTATGAGTAATTATATATACTACGAAAATGCTATTGATCTTAGAACATTTTAGTATATTTCCGGAAATTTTTTGGTCAGCTGTTGCAGGGCTATTATACCATTGACACTGATCTCTTCGTTTTCATTAAGCACGCACTTGACAGCATCCAACACTAGGAAACCGACATCACCGTTGTCGCTTGACCTGCATACAAACTCATACCAAGAGTCCACGTCAAAGGTCTTGTTCATAGACACCCGCACGCTATCGAGCGTGATCATCTCGCCCCCAGTGGTAGGAGATGCTAGTATCAGCGTGTTCTCACTCGGTTGCGATTTAACCTGTGCTATTATCCTAAACACTGGGGATGTGTTGCTTGTGATTTCACTGGGATCAATACGAGGAGTTTCACTGGCCATTGTTCTGTATTTAGGCTAGTTCTGTATTTAGGCTAGTTCTGCAGTACGCTGTTGCTGTATACCTACTTAATGCATGTGTCTTTACAAATTAAACGCTGCTAAGCACGCCAGTTGCAAATATAAGTACAGTGGCACCATGTTAGACGCGTCAACTCGCTAACTTAGTCGCGATGTCGATGTCCAGAGCCTTGAGGCCTGCGGGAAGGCGAGTTTCACGGCATTTGTGTGAGACAAAAGGTATTATCCCTCCATACGGTATAATAAGCCCATTTAGATTAAGGATTGAGCCCATAGTACAATCATACAAGCCAGCCTAGTTGCTTACAGCTAGTTGCTTACACTGGCATTTGTAAGAGCAGAGTTTGTGGTTATAGCAGTCTTACCTAGTACATTCTGTGCATTGATGTGTGCTGGTAGTTTGGTTGCATGAGGTAGGGGGGTTTTCTTTTCAAGGAAGGCTCAGCAGTGAGGGATAAAAAAGTGTCAATTTATCACTTTTAAGCAACCTTAAATGCACTTCGACTGTGGGAACTGCACAATTCCATAGGAATCCTAGCAAAACCAACAATGGGGGAGTTTAGTGACGGTGATGGCTTCGATAAGGAATGTGCAATTGAGCATGGGCATCACCATCTACAAGACACTTTTCTTCATTTATATAATAGGGTGTCTTTTGTAATCTTACTTGTCTGTCCTGTCAACCTGTAAACCTCATCACATAGACTAACATCGCAAATATGGCTGAAGTAGATGTTGAGAAACAGCGCATGGTTGCTGTAAAGTCGTCAAGACGGAAGTTCTGGGGCAAACTACTGTTAGTCCTCTACATAGTGTTTATCGGCTTTGATAATACCTATTTGGGCAGTTCGTTCTCCCCATTCAGTTTCATTCCTGGCTTCTTTAACAGTGAAGAAACAGGATTGAATTGTCCAGCAAATAAGCCATTGACTCCAGATTTCAAGAACTCGCTAGATACTATCTTATTCGACCCTGAATACAAGGACAAGTCGATTAAAAGATTGTCAAATGCCGTCAGAATTCCTACTGTGGTGCAGGATATTAACCCTGATCCTAAAGAGGACATTGAATACTACAACAATTTCTTCAAGCTACATGACTACTTCAAGGATACTTTCCCATTGGTTCATAAGAACTTGAAACTAGAGAAAGTGAATGAAGTCGGTTTGTTATATACTTGGGAGGGCTCCAATAAGGAATTGAAGCCTCTGTTGTTCATGGCACATCAGGATGTGGTCCCTGTCAATAATGACACCTTGGATCAGTGGACTTATCCACCTTTCGAAGGTCATTACGATGAAGAGAATGATTTTGTTTGGGGCAGAGGCTCAAATGATTGTAAGAACCTCGTAATTGCACAATTTGAAGCTATTGAACAACTTCTAGAAGATGGATTTAAACCAAACAGAACTGTCCTTTTGTCCTTTGGATTCGACGAAGAAGCTGGAGGTCAATTAGGTGCTGGGCCATTGGCACAATTTATCAGAGAAAGATATGGTGATGATAGTTTGTATGCCATTTTGGATGAAGGTGAGGGCCTAACCAAAATTGATGACAACACTTATATTGCCGCTCCGGTCAATGCTGAAAAGGGTTACGTTGATGTCGAGATTACTGTCATGGGCAAAGGTGGCCACTCATCTGTTCCACCAGATCATACAAACATTGGTATTGCTGCAAAGATAGTTACTTTGATTGAAGACAATAAAAGTCCATTTAAAATGACATTGGATAATCCATTGTATGGTACTCTGGTGTGTGCAGCAGAACACTCTACCAAGATTGATGCACAGTTCAGAAAAACTATATTGGCTGCTCGTAAATGTAAGAGCGCCATGAAGAGACTAACAAGGGTTATCGCTGGTATCCCAATTCTTCGTGACTTAATAAGAACAACGACTGCAGTCGATATTTTTCAAGGTGGTGTCAAGGCAAATGCTCTGCCAGAAAGCGCCAAATTCTTGGTTAATCACAGAATAGACTTGAAATCTTCCGTTGAAGAGACTTTACAAGAGGATATAAAAATGGTCCAGAAAATAGCTGAAAAGTACAATTTTGGTGTAACAAGAGATGGTGAACAAATCATTCGTCCAATCACTGAGAATGGTAGCATCGATGTATCCATTTCTAAAGCTTTAGAACCAGCTCCAAGATCGCCAACCTCAGGTAAAGTGTGGGACATTTTGGCAGGAACCGTTGTGGATGTATTTGAAAATAATTTCTTTAAGAAGGATAATGGCTCTGTATATGTAACAAGTGGTTTATTTTCTGGTAATACAGACACCAAGCATTATTGGGTTTTATCGCCAAACATTTACAGATTCATTGGTTCAGTGATCGACCCAGAATTGGCTAAGACATTACATTCAGTTAATGAGCATGTTGACATGCCAGGACACTTATCTGCTGTGGCATTTGTTTATGAATACATATTGAATGTAGACCAATATGGAGATGAGTAGTAGATGAACATCTTTATTATATTGACGAGGGATGTTTATTGTTTATATTAAATGTAACGTTTCTTAATTGATATGTCAACTGATAATTCTATTTCATGACTTTGAATGTACAAACGTATTAATAACTTGTCTATTGGTATGAGCTAATTACTTTAACATTAGCCAAATATTGGCCACCAACGTGAAAATAATGGTTTTGATCTTAATAGGAAACATGTTTTGCATAACAGAATTTAGACCTTTATCTGTCATACCATTTTATTCTTTACATATTGCCATTTTGTCCCACATGTTAAGCACATATGCTGAATGATGCATGCATTGAAGCTTCATTGATATGAAACCTCGGTAAATTTTGGAAATGAAGCATATGTAAAGTTTAATAAAAGGCATATTCTTTTCTATGATTACTATTAGAGTGACCTTCACATGAAGCTGTTGGATTGATTTAAGTGTTCATACCGAGTAACGAAAGTCAATCACATAGGTTACTTGCTATCAAGGCAAAGTTATTATACTCTATAATATTACTTTATCGAGCTTTGGTGTTTGGCTACAATTTAATATGCTAATCAGTGATACGAATGAAATTTCGTAATATATGCAATGAAGATTTTAGTTAAGTAGCAGGTCATCAAAATACAATTCTATTTTAAAGAAGAACAAGTATGGCAGGAATATCAAGCAAGTTAAAATGATTATATACAAGGAGCGTTAATGTCTTTGCTTCTTTTTATCAAGTTTTTCTAAAAACTTTTCCATATATCCATGGACAAACTGTTTGATTTTATGTCTCTTTTCCTTTGATACAGTAGCCTCCGGTTCTTTCGATGAATCTTTTTTCATTTCTTTTGCTGCTAAAATTTTCACGATATCTCTTGCACACTGTTTCATATTATCATGATCAATTTTTTTATCCGATTCATATTTCTTCAAGATATTAGGAACAACAGAAGCAAAGAATTTTGTCCATTTGTGCTCCATTTTACTGATTTGAGAAAGCTGTTTCTTAGATTCTTTTTTATCTTTCTTCTCCTTTTCAATTTTTAATTGATTTTGGCGTTCTTCTTCCTTCTTGCGGTTAGCCTCTGCAATGATATTCTCCAGGATCTGTTTCTGTTCTCTTTCTTGGTTAAATTTTGCCTTCAATCTTTGTAATTCTTCTTCTTTCGCTTTTTTAATATTTTCTTGCTCTAACTCTATTCTTTTTCTCTTTCTTTCTTCATATTCCTCGTCGGTTAATTTTCGTTTAATACCATTATTTTGGTCCCTCTTGTTCTTAAACTTAGGAATTGGTGAGGATGACTTTTGTGATGCGAATGTCTTTGAGGCGCCGGTTGGTGGGTATAGCAGTTTGGTCTTTTTCTCGGCATTATAATACATCGGTCTGCCATTCTCAAAAACAATTTCCCAACCAGGTGGTAATTTGATCCTTCTGATATCCTGAAGTTTCGTTTTAGTGGAATTATTAATATCTAACTTAGTAATCCTCTTGTACTCTTCATATGCTTTCCATTTTTCAATTAGCGAGTCACCAATAGATGATAAGCTGCTATGGTTTTTGCATACAGATTTTACTTGGAAATCAATATGTGATGATATTATACCATTTTTTGTGGTTTTTGGCAGTCTTTCCAAAAAGTACAAAATTTTTTTCAGTTCATCTTCTTCTAATGCAAACAATTGTAGTAATTTCGTAAAGCATGTATAACCATGTAACTTAATAACATGATGGAGCAGCTCCTCATTCGATGACAAATATAATCTTTGTAATAATTTTTGAGCTACAGTCTTATTTTCGATTTGTAAAAGAACACTCATCACTTTTTGAACATCAGTAGCAGTATTACAGGGATTTATGGTAATAGATTCCAAAAATTCAATATTGATGTTTTCTGCCTCTGATTTTTCAATTTTTTGGCCTTCAGCTTTTTTGAGTTTTATCCATTTCTTTTCCTCCGACGCTTTCACACCAAGAGCTTCAGCCACATTTTGCGGTAGCAGTGACGCTGCATCTGTTTGAGTTTTACCACCGAGGAACCCAATACAATTTGGTTCTTCACAGTAGCACTTCTGTGCGGCAGCGCCATATCTGTCAACGTTGTAATCAAATGTAATCTCCTCACCTTTTAATATTTTTCTTTTAGCAAAGATACCCATTCTAAGCTTTCCTGCCACCACCCACTTATTTACATATGCGTTAGGGTTGCAAGAATGGTTGCAGAACCTTGCTAAAGAACCTTTTATGGTAGCATCGATAAACTCACCACTTTGTAGCATCATGAAATAAAAGTGTCTAAATTTCTTCTGGTCGTAATCAACAAGTCTATCTCTAAATTCTTCTTCTTCGATGACTTCACCTTTATACTCGTAAATAAAATCATTGATTTCTATATCTGACTCAGCTCTAACACCATAGCCCTTCATTTTAGTTTTGAAAACTGCTATATTAGCATATTCTTTCTTTTGGAATCGTTGATTCGCACAATCATTACCGCAAGTACCACATAAATCGTTCACACACTCTATAAGTGTCAGTCTATTGATACAATCTGAATCCTCTCCACATGCATGATTCTTCCCGTTTTGAAAGTCTTCATAGCAATCACATTCCATAAAGTCGTTACTATTACAATTTCCAACATGCTTGTTCGAGTACAGGCAGTCCTCGAGGTTTACAAATGTTGATAGTGCCTCATCAGTCTTATCTTCTTCCTCTAAGTATAGCCTACGCTTTAATTTAGGAGGCTCTTCAGAAGGTTCAGACTGAACTTCTGCATCAGGAATTTCATCATCGAATACCTGATCATCTTTCGGTACAGATGAATTTAGTTCAATACTTTCCGCCAAAGATATATCAGACATGTTATCGAAGGTATGAAATTCAATATCAATTCAATAGTAATGGTAAATCAATTATTTTTTGGGTGGAACAAATGCTGCTAAGTTTCTCAATGCTAATTTATTTTCAGTTGAAGTCAGAAATTCTAAGTCTTGGTTTTTAATTTAAGATTATTGTTGTAGTGTTTGCACTCACTAATGAACGTTAAATAGTAAAGTCTTTGAGATCTTCTTAAACCCTGATATTCAAATAACAGTTACAATATATAATGATGCTCAGTTCAATATCATACAGCCTCTTTTTGCGTTTGCATACTTCTCAAGGTGGTAAAATTTTGTTGTGTTGTGATTTTTGTTTTTTTTTCATGTCTCCAGTTCGCTCCAAGAAATTGCATCGGATTTTTCATCTAACTGCGAGAACATGCAATAATTGGGAATAAGACCCTCTTGTATATAAACGTCAATGATTCACACAACACTATTTCATATTAACTAAGTGTGAAAAATGGACAGATAAAGAGAAGCTAAAGAAAAACTGAAAATAGTGTATCTTGACCAGAATTCTAAAAATTATGTATACCTATAACTGTGCTTATGAATATGGTAAATGTGGTATTCACTCTCTTCTACAATGGTAGAAATTGAAATATCATAAGAGGACCATACTATATTAGTTTAGTGCATCAATTGCCCTCTGTGCAGTAGAATGAGCAGAAGCTGGGTTAACACCAGTAACCAACTTGCCATCTGTGATGGAAAAATCATCCCATGGGCCTATTGGAGCCAAGTACTTCGCACCATATTTCTTAGCAATGTCTTCGACTGATAGCAATCCTTTATCCTTCATTATTTTATCGACATTAAGAACGACTTCACCAATGTCAGTAAAACCAGTAATGGCCTTACCTTCAATCAAAGGTTTGCCAGTTTTCTTGTCCTTTAAGCCATCAAAAATAGCTGGGCCATGGCAAACAGCAGCAACAACACCGCCATTGGCGTAAATATCTTCTGCTAGTCCTTGTAGTTCTTTAGCTTTTGGGTAATCAAACAAAGTACCGTGACCTGCAGAAGCAAAAAAGATGTCATAATCAGATGCTTTAACATCCTTGGCAGCCTTGACATTCTTTAAAGCCTTGTGAAAAGATGAGTTTTCATTGTCAAAATCTTCTTTATCCTTACCACTTAAAAAATCAGGGATCAGTGAATGTTCATCCCAACCATATTTACCAGTTTCAGAAACGAAGTCAACTTCAAAGCCCTTCTCTGTGAAGAGATTAAATGGATGCATAGCTTCAACTACAAAGACACCAGTCTTAGCACCATCCTCATAAAAATCACCATTGTAGGATGTCAAAGCCAAAAGAACCTTCTTAGCAGCCATTTTGTATTTTCTTGTTTAATGTGTAATAGAAATTGAGATTAGATCCAGTAGAATTAGTTATGCTCAGTCTTATTAGATCTATCTATACTATATTGTACTTATAGCTATGAATTGAGGAATATGTAGTGCAATTGAAAACCAATTACTCATGAATTAGTTTGTACTTTATATATGTTCAGCAAAATAATGTAAGGTAATGCTACATGATACTAGAATGTAGGGGGCGTGGTAACTTCTTAACATCTTACAACATAATTATAGTACCGTTAAGGGCTCAATGGGGCTAATAAATTGTTTGTTGCAGAGGTGCAGGCTCTTACTAAAGGGGTTTTGGGGGTAAACTGCTGCGAGATTAGTTTTGTTTCAGCACCTGTAAGCTGCATTGTGGAGAATTGATCGTCATAGTAAAATATCTTCCAACGATGTGTTAGGTAATTAGTTACTACCCTTGCTATTTCATGCTGGAGTAATATATCGCTCTCACAATTGGGCAAGTGAAGTCTGAAACAAGCACAAGTCTAAGTGCGTCAGTATGGATATAAGATTCTTAAATCCTCTTGCATAGAGCATTCATAGACACCTATGGTATTAAAAATTTGGTCTGTAAATTGAGCGTTTTTTCGATTTTTCTAGAAAAGGGTTCTGCTAATAAGATATTCTGCAATGTTATACAATGCCTCATAACCTCTATAATTATCGTTTACTATAGTATAAAACTTGACTTTGAAGATGACGTCTTGTATCATGGAAGGTATTGTATCCTGATTATGGCGTAGATTGCAAATTTAATGAAAATATATTACATTAGCTAATGACATAAAGTTGTAATAGATATAGGAGTAAAATCTACTAAGAATTGCACAAATCACTTCGTTTAGCCGAATGATTAAGAGTCGAGTATGTAATTGAGATATCTTTCCTTATTCCGTGGAATCAAAGAGTTTAAGAGTTTTGGTTTATATTTGAACTGCTATTTGTCTATTTTCTGATATTCGCTTATATGAGACAAAATATTTTATCAGCATTTTGATATCAAAACATAAAAAGGACGATTTCTATATAAAATTACTTAACAATATATAAAACGAAAAGTTTCCAAAAAATGCTGACCGTAGTATAGAAACTGAGATTTCACCTATAGTTGTTACTCAAAAATATAAAATCCTGTAAGTAATATATCACTTCCAATGATATAGAAATATATCCAAGAAATACATTTTGCCATTATACCAAATCATAAGCTATGTAATGAAGGAATGCAACTGGATAGATAGACACATCAAATTGATTGAGCATACTAAAAGAACACAAAGTGGAGGCGGTGTATAATATTTGAGGAACTTCATTCTGGAGAAGTCATCCTTTAGATAAGTAAATTGATAAAATAAATATTCCAAGATAAACACTCTCAAATATGGAAGACTTTCGGCCACTACACCAGATAGGGATAGTGTTGCATCAGCTTTTCTGCTAGTATAGGAGAAAGGTTCTATAGCTAATCAATAGTCGGTGATCATTAGGTAGCATACGTTTCCTTAATGTCGTATATATGATGAACTGACTTTCTTTTTGTTTATAAATGAAGTCTAGCTATATAAAATACGCTAATATATCGAAGCTAAGTACCATAACTTTGTATGACCCAATAAACACATTTGTACAAAGGCTATACTGTTTTGCATATTTATAGTAATATTGCCAATTATATCCAACAATATGGTGAAAGAAAGAAGAAATCAATAATTTTTCAACTGTTTAATTAATTTCTTCATAGGAGTTAGCGGACAGTAATATTCTTACTTTACTATACATTTGGGTATCCTTATCATTAATCAAAAACCTCTTTAAATTTACATCTTATACATTTTTCTTTCGCCTAAAAACCTATGGTCAACCTCAGCAGTATATGTAAAGGGGGGCACTCGATATAAAACACGCAATGAGTGCTCCCCCGCACTTCTTGATTGAAATTATTCTTTATTCTAGTAAAACACCTATATATTATCAATCTATAATTAATCATAAGATCATCCAAGTTAGAACTAAAAAAGACCCTATGATTATTTTTAGAATAGATCGAAATTGATTTTAGATGTACTTACGGAAATGCAACCCGCTCGGAAAACCTCGCATATTTCTCCTTTCAAGACTAGTAAATCTGCACCATAAAAGTGGATAGCAGCTTAATTACGTATTGAGACTAGATAGGTTTCCGTGATCAAATAAATTTATAAGTATTCTAAACCATATTCAACCGTATACTAATCTTTTTTCTTTTGGAAAGCCTATGGTTCTCCGAACTGATTGAAAGGATTTACAAGGATCCGTTCCATAAGCAATGAACTATGTAGTGAATGCATCACAGAAATTGCAATGCAAATTACTAACCCCTTCCCGCTGACAGTAAAGAGACGCTGATTGGATGGAGGAGCAAGTGCTGCAAACATCCCTACTATTACTTTGTAGAATCAACTGACTAAGCAAAACTTCCAAAGGTCCAAACAACCACGCAGGAAAAAACAATGCCTTATGCAATAAGATTGTCCATGGAATACACCAAGATAACAAATACCGGTAACTAAAGGAACTCTTATTCGCACATTATGCTACACCTTTCCTCATGAGGCGATCTTTCGGCTCGGACACAGATAAAATGAAACTTAGTTCTGCGAGAGCTGTTATGCTCCCTCTATCAACTACAAAGCACCAATATGGAATCACAATGTCCAAGGCTAAGTCCTCCCCTGCCGGCTTTCCATTTGAGGTTTTCCATTCCGTAATTTTTTTTGCAGTTCCTTCTTCTCCAGTTTTGAATCAGTTTCCTATTAGTCTCCGTATTACTACACCCCTACCAAGGCAAGAAGCATCTCTGCCTCTTTGAAGCTCATCCTCAACCCCCCGTCTGAATCCTCCACTGAGACAACTGCAGTAACCGAATCCGAGCAAATCGGGCAAATCCTCGAAGACTTTCCATGAAAATTGGAATACACACGATGGGTAAGGTAAATACTCTGTGAGTCTTTGTATCTGGTTTCACAGAACAATGCTGCAGAGGTTGCCCCCAGCCCAGAGATTACAGAATTATGACCAGAGAGCGCAGAAATTCTCGTTCCCCCCGTGGATTTCCCCCGGGGAAAAAGTCTTTTTCACGGACGAGATTTGCCAAACTACTAAGACATTACTCAGTTCGGGGAGCTCTCGCGTCCACAAACGCATATGTAGAGAACACAAAGGAACAAGGTCTTGGACTTGGATTGTCTGGTTCAGTTCGATAGGATACGGCCTTATTATACACAGAATTAGAAATTCTTATGTAACTATGGGTTTCGTTATAACAACTTCCCCTTCTGTACTGGCAATGATCAACCAGTAGCCGTTGCTGCTACTTTACTTCCCTTTTCTATTCAATCACACCCACCCCTGCCTCCCCCAGCAACTGTTGCCGGATCGATCTCCGAACGTACAAACTAGTGGATGCTTTTTTAAACTTGTCTTTTGCTTTGGATGCTCTAACACTTTCCGAGTAGGAGGGAATAACAAAGGATAGTGATTGTTTCTGGTAAATCCAGAGGTGCGTCTTTTCTTGGTAATTGCTTACCAAAAATGCTACCAAATCAAAACGGGAGGGAAAAACAGATGGTCCGGGTTGATAGAATCTAACCATCATAAAGCATTGTTACTTTGTTAGCAAATCTCATCTGGGCTTGCCGTTGAGATTTATTCCGTTTTGGTCTTTTTTTTGGTTATTTTTTTGCCTCAGCCAATTCTTTACATTAACATCCTTCGCCGATATTGTCAATATAACCCATGTTGAGCTCGACCCAAAAGGTGGAGAGTACAAAGCACAAGTTAAAGGGGGGTTATTATTACTCCTATGTAATTTTACTAATTCTCTCCTACTTTGGTAAATTTCCTAACTTCATTGATTTCAAATACATTACCATAGCGAAGTCCTTGATTTATTTACTTTAACCGGATATGAAATTGAAAAAGAACTAAAAGAGAGGACCAAAAGAAATTTATTTTTAGACTCACTATCGTCCAGTTAGTCAGATAACCAATGTGGAATGACTAAAATACCGAGATGTTTATCTCATCTTTCCAATTTATATATATATCCATGACAATGAGCATTTAATTTGTCTACCCACAGACACTTGAAATCTTTTTAGCTTGCCTTTTGCTATTGACTGATCCATCGCCTCGTTATTTGTTATTGCTAGACATAGACCTGCATATATAACAGGATTAAGCAAATCATCATATTAGATTAAGAGCAAAAATAGTTAAGTATCAAAGCTGACTGTTACTATTACTAACAAACATCAAACTACTTTTAAAGTTTACCCTTGCTAGTTGTACATGGTGAACTTCGACATTCATATAAAATAAACAAACAAAAATGAATTATGGCTTAATATACGCTTTTATTTTCTGGATCACTATTTGGCAAACAGTGTCCGCGACAAAATATACCGACAAGGAGATTGTGTTTGATGGCTCAAGTACTGGAACAGAAAACCCGGTATTCACTGACGCAACAGTTCTCTCGCTGGTAAATTCAAAGGTTACAATAAAAAACTATGCAAAAGTTGCTCTACCGGCAGGATTTTTTTTGCAGAATCATTCAACGTTGACGATCATACCTATACCTGGTATTGACATACCTTTTTCTTTGGATGTTAATGGTGATGCACAATTTAATACCGGTTCAAAATTCATTTTTGACGGTTCAAAGACAAGTTATTCCAGTTCTATACAAGCCATAAACTCATTTCATTTTTCTTTTGATCTAGGAGCAGGTGGTTTAATTGTACTTCAAGATGACTCATTCACTGCAACGCTTCCGACGTATGGTTCTTATACATTAGGCTCAAAAAGACCATCAATAAAAATAGGCAGTACAATTACCGACACCTTAAAGTACTCTCCAGTTTTGATATATGGATCGTTAACCATTGATCAAACCGATAGGACACATTTATATCAAATTGATTTTGGACCAAACAAACCTGTCGTGGCTCCTGGTAATGCCCCGGCATTATCTGTAATCAATACCAAGATTTATGGTATAACAAATTTATATGCGAACATTTTTCAAAATACGATCGGTGGTTCACTATCGACGTCTGGACTTCATGCTTATGTTCCTCAAAATGCCTTCACTTTGAATCTCTTATATCAACCTACATTTACTAATCCCAATGAAGAACCATATGATATTTTATTCACAGCCGATCAAACTGCTTTGATTACAATCAAGAATATGATACAATATCCATCCGATATTTATCAGCTTCAGGGACCCTTTCCTGCTATCAGAGTGCTATCCAATGGAGCCGGTGTATTATCGAGTAGCTTTTCGGACCCTAACCAACTGTTAAACCTTGCAATTGGTTCTGCGAATGTTCGCTTTAGATTACCTAAACCAGAAAGAAAGTTTGACTTACTGGCAATAGGTTCAAATAGAGACTTATCTCCAAATTATGCAATTCCAAGCTACTCCAATGTTCTTACTATAGCGCTGATAGGCGATTTAGTTATACGCCCACCATTTACTACTACTCATACAGATCCGAAAACAACTGAGATTTTGCTTATCAGTGATTATTCCAGTTCGGATGCCGCCAATCATCAATGGGTAATTGGTCACTCTACTATCACATTATATAATCAACCTCAAGGAGATACGAAAATAATCGACTTAGGAAATGGAGTTACAGAATACCAAGTACTATCCTATGAGCCCTCACAGATACAAAATCCAGCGAATCCGTTGAAACCATATGCAACAGTGACAAGAACAGTTCTCTACAGTCCACCTCCAGTGACAACTTTGAGCATCGATCAAAATCACGAACACATTGAAGAGGTCGTTTCATATTTCATTACAACTGATTCTAACAGTAAGATAATAACAGATAGTAAGGTAATATCCATTACAACTAAGTATGACCCCGCACCCGATCCAGAAACAAATATTATAGATTTAGGTAATGAGGTTACGGAATATGTGGTCATATCATATTGGACAACTATAAATGATCAAGGTAAGGTATTTACGACAAGTAAAGTCCAAACATATAGTCCTCCACCTGTGACGATCACAGCCACCACTGCTGCGGACTATGTCGAGACGGACTGGATCTCGTTCTTCATCACCACGAATGATAAGGGGGAGATTATTACAGACAGCACACTGTTCAATGCTACGCGTGACTACAACTTGCCTGAGGCTCCGCACACGTCGTTCGGGCCTGCACCTCCTGCCGAGACCAAGACTGTTGATCTGGGCAACGAAGTGACTGAGTACCTGGTCATCAGCTACTGGACGACCACCAACGAGTTTGGTGGGTTGATCACCACTAGCAGCACCAGGACGTACAGCCCTCCACCTGTGACGATCACAGCCACCACTGCTGCGGACTATGTCGAGACGGACTGGATCTCGTTCTTCATCACCACGAATGATAAGGGGGAGATTATTACAGACAGCACACTGTTCAATGCTACGCGTGACTACAACTTGCCTGAGGCTCCGCACACGTCGTTCGGGCCTGCACCTCCTGCCGAGACCAAGACTGTTGATCTGGGCAACGAAGTGACTGAGTACCTGGTCATCAGCTACTGGACGACCACCAACGAGTTTGGTGGGTTGATCACCACTAGCAGCACCAGGACGTACAGCCCTCCACCTGTGACGATCACAGCCACCACTGCTGCGGACTATGTCGAGACGGACTGGATCTCGTTCTTCATCACCACGAATGATAAGGGGGAGATTATTACAGACAGCACACTGTTCAATGCTACGCGTGACTACAACTTGCCCGAGGCTCCGCACACGTCGTTCGGGCCTGCACCTCCTGCCGAGACCAAGACTGTTGATCTGGGCAACGAAGTGACTGAGTACCTGGTCATCAGCTACTGGACGACCACCAACGAGTTTGGTGGGTTGATCACCACTAGCAGCACCAGGACGTACAGCCCTCCACCTGTGACGATCACAGCCACCACTGCTGCGGACTATGTCGAGACGGACTGGATCTCGTTCTTCATCACCACGAATGATAAGGGGGAGATTATTACAGACAGCACACTGTTCAATGCTACGCGTGACTACAACTTGCCTGAGGCTCCGCACACGTCGTTCGGGCCTGCACCTCCTGCCGAGACCAAGACTGTTGATCTGGGCAACGAAGTGACTGAGTACCTGGTCATCAGCTACTGGACGACCACCAACGAGTTTGGTGGGTTGATCACCACTAGCAGCACCAGGACGTACAGCCCTCCACCTGTGACGATCACAGCCACCACTGCTGCGGACTATGTCGAGACGGACTGGATCTCGTTCTTCATCACCACGAATGATAAGGGGGAGATTATTACAGACAGCACACTGTTCAATGCTACGCGTGACTACAACTTGCCTGAGGCTCCGCACACGTCGTTCGGGCCTGCACCTCCTGCCGAGACCAAGACTGTTGATCTGGGCAACGAAGTGACTGAGTACCTGGTCATCAGCTACTGGACGACCACCAACGAGTTTGGTGGGTTGATCACCACTAGCAGCACCAGGACGTACAGCCCTCCACCTGTGACGATCACAGCCACCACTGCTGCGGACTATGTCGAGACGGACTGGATCTCGTTCTTCATCACCACGAATGATAAGGGGGAGATTATTACAGACAGCACACTGTTCAATGCTACGCGTGACTACAACTTGCCTGAGGCTCCGCACACGTCGTTCGGGCCTGCACCTCCTGCCGAGACCAAGACTGTTGATCTGGGCAACGAAGTGACTGAGTACCTGGTCATCAGCTACTGGACGACCACCAACGAGTTTGGTGGGTTGATCACCACTAGCAGCACCAGGACGTACAGCCCTCCACCTGTGACGATCACAGCCACCACTGCTGCGGACTATGTCGAGACGGACTGGATCTCGTTCTTCATCACCACGAATGATAAGGGGGAGATTATTACAGACAGCACACTGTTCAATGCTACACGTGAATATATCGATGCTGAGGAATTATACATATCATCATCATCGCCTTCCTCTTCTTTGTCTTCCTCTTTATCATCTTCTTTGCTTTTGTCATCGTCAGATATTAATTATCTACCATCTGATACTTATGTTAGCACTTCTAGCATATCTTCTAATATTTCAAACTCAGTTGATCTCAGTTCATCGATTTCCTCTTCCTCTTCTAATTTCAGTTCCGATAAATCGACAATGCCAAGTTCTTCAGCATTAGGAAGTGATTTTATTCCATCTTCCTCCATTATTGAATCAGTTAGTATGATCAGAAGTTCTACTGTTGTTTCTGATATCGTGACCGGCTTAGGAAGTCCCACATATTCTTTAGCACATTCTCCGTCTTCTGATATGAGCTCTATAAATTCTTACGACTCCTCTAAACTAATTCCAGAAGGAGGGTTTTCAGGAAGTACGGTACACCACTCATCAGTGTATTCCACCTCGAAAAGCAACGTTAATGTAACAGTTTCAGAAAGCAGCATTATTGGTATGGGCACCTATGATCCTCATTCTACGTCTACAGAACAACAGGATATTAACGAGGTCATTACTAGCAGTTCATTACAAAGCACTTATACAGGTAGTAGTTTGTCAAGCAAAATCACTAGTTCGGATTATTTGATTAATAGTCAACCAGACACAAATGCATCGCATATTTTATCACATTATTTTGCAACAAGCGAAGACGGAGTTGTAGTAACTAGTGTTGCGACGATTTCAACTGTATCTCATAGTCACTTCCCTGCTTTTAATGAAGCTGATAACAGTGGTAGCTCTAGAGGTAATACAGTTGTGACTGCATCTAACAGTGTGATTAACAATTCTGAAACTAATAATACTGAACAGAGCACAAACATAGAGAATAATAACTCATTAACAACATCCAATAACAACCAATCTGAGATATACGGCACTGCCACAACTTTAACAAACTCGATCAAACATACCAATGATGCTCTGCATGAAAACTCGGCAATTTCGGTTCAAACTTCAACCTCCACCTTGCCCAATGTATCTTCAAAGTCAATCCTTCCAACCTCATCCATTCAGCGTACATCACAACGGGTATCCGAGGGCACATTTTCTATCGATACTCTATATGAAGCTTCAGGTTCGCACCACAAAAAGTCTACCACGCTACTTGAATCAATGATGCTTATTTTCATTATTTTCTTCATCTGAGCATCAGTTAAAATAACCTGAACTCTTCCAACAATTTTTAAGATACCGGTGTTGGATTAACTGTAAAAAGTGTTAATGGAAGACAGATAAGGTAAAAGAGCTAACAAACAGCATAAAAAACTAAATATAACGATCATTTAAAATGTTATCTAGCTGGTATAAATAGCTTAATATGGAAATCGTAATGGTAACCGGGCTATTCATATGCATAGTAATTATTTTATATTAAATGCTTTTTTTGATCCGAAACAGTTCTAATCTAGTATTTCTTAGTTGAATAGTATTTCGAAATACATCATGGAACTATTGTACAGCATTTACAACAAAAAATTCTTCACATGACACCGAATATGATAGAAATCATATAATGCTAGCTACCCATTCCAAATAAATAAGTTGATGATAACGCTATAAAGTTGTAAATATATATATGAGAGTATATGTATTCTACGGCATAATCTTTTATAATACCACGATTACAAAGCATAACACCTACCGAGATTTGGGTATGACAGATATTGTTTATTGCATTGTTATATTTTTAGTAGCTCTTTCTCCTGTGATCATCTCAGAAGTTCAAATAGCGACTATGGAGTATGACAGATGAAAATATATCACTTGTTTATTATCTGTATTACAATTTTCTCGTGGGAAGCTCTCCTACATCAGATAATTAATAATTTTTGTAATATTATTTGACTAAAGGAGCACAATATAGTAGAATGATATATGTCAAATGATAAAATTACTCCTGCGATAGTTAAATTCAGATAAAATTCGAAATCACAAGCGGAGTAGGGCCTGGTACATTCTACTTTTTAAACAGTTAAGCACAGGGGGGGGGGCAACCAGACGTTGAAAATAAGAGTTGAAACAAGCACGAGAAAAGGCATTTATTACGTCGGCTTTTTCTATATATAGTAGTAGTTGCTCTGAAGACCAAAGGATGAAGAGGGTAGCCAGTAACATATTATATTATCATTCATGTCGTTAAATATTTATATAATATTTATAACTTACAAAAGTTTCAGAATTCAATGAGTATAGTACATATATTTCAAAGGTTAGTACAGTCAGATAATGTTATATCTCGCAAAATACTAGCTTTACTTATAATTATAGAGGTAATATTTACTGAAAAACTGAAGAGTGATAGATGAATTGGTAAATAGATATCAACTGCATCTTTAATATTTTAGTATTACACCTGCTACTGATAGATGCTATGTTTCCTTAAGATACATTATAATTGAGTCAAGTATCTATATGTAAATTTTTATATTCCAATGTTATATTATAATCAACATCTAAACATTATTATGTTTCTCCTGGTGCAAGGGAGAGATCATCTACCATAGTATTTAATTTCTATAGGTCTGATTATAATATATGTTAAGAAAGCCCAGCTCATCCCCAGCTCAAAGCCAATATCACCCCCATAAGTTCCTATTTTTCTTGCTATTTCGCCAACCCAATATGTTTGTGCCATTCCGAGTGCCACTCCGAATGATCCCACAATCAATGCAATACAGCCAGCAAAACCAATTGGTAACTTCTCCCAGTTAGAATGATCATTGACATTATAGTTACCAAATTTTCTCCTGAAAACACAATGCTCAGCTAATGAAATACCAATGTATAGAGCATAAAAATAACCTATAGATCCCATAAAGTTCTGCATAAAACTTTGGAAAAAATAGCACGCTGGTATAGATATCCCTAATACAACAATATTAGCAAATATCGTCCAAATAGCTCTAGGAACGCTTGTAAGCGGCTCCCAGAGGGCTTGAACCGAGAGAGCTATGGTGTACATACTAGGTACATTATTAGCTACAGTCGACATAGCAAGAATAACACAACAGAATTTGCCAAACCCATGTAAAGAGTTTGGAACAAGCAAAGCGTATGTTACACCACCAATTTGAAACTCATTATATAATTCCATCCATTTAGAATTATTGACAGCACAGATACCGGCTGCCGCACCTACTATCATTGTAAATATCAATGAGAAGGCCAATCCAATTGAATTAAAGAAAAAAATCCTAAATTTATTGGTTCTTCTTGGCATATACACAGTATAATCAGCTGAATAAGTCACCCAGCCTGCTGCAGAACCAAAAATTGCAGAACCAAATGATAAAACATTACCTGCTGTAGTTGAACCTGATGTCCAGGGTCCATTGCTGAACTCCCTGGAAATTTTTATTCTTGATATAATTATGAGAAATACTGCAAGGTTTGGAATCCATGACCATTTCTCATAGATATGAATGAATTTATATCCCAATGCTGCAATAAAAACAGTACTACCAACGATAACAATACAGCCTCCCCATAATGGTAAGTGATTTCCTCCAGTTTTAATAATGGCAAATAATTTTGCAGCCAAGTAAATATTTAGTACATCCCATCCAACACATCCTATGCAGTTTAAAGCAGCAAAAATCCTAGCTGTTACATTGCCAACTAGATATCTAGAAATTATCATTTGTCTTAATCCAAGTTCAGCTCCAAAAACTGAAAAAAAAGATACACTAACTAAGCCTAAAATATTGAAGAACACAATTGTTAGAACACTAATTGCAAAATTCAAGTGATATACTGTTGGGCCAAGAGAACCAACACCATAAGCTGCCAATACTAGGTTTGCTGAAAACCAAACAAATGATGAGCCAAAGATGTTGGTATCATTCTTTTCGTTTTCATTTATCGGCTCAACACCTTTCGTTTCAGCATTTAAAGTTCTTTTCAACCAAATGATAAATGGACTCTTAAAACAGGTCTCATCTTTATCAGTCTCTGTAGACTTATTATCTAACTCATTGAACTTTTCTTTGAAAGTAATATCTTTGAGCTCTAGATCCTCATAATGATTATTTCCCAGTCGATCTGTCACAGTTTCTGCCGTGAAAATATTGTCAGAGATATTGCTCTCAATATCAGAATAATTCAATGTCAGCATCACTATTCAAAACACTTGGTGATTGCTGATGACAATTAACAGTGACACATGAAATAAGCAATAAAAATGAAGTTACAGTGGCAGCATCCTAAGTCACCGACGGTCAAATTTACAACACCCTATCATCTTATTTATACCTAGATTAATATTATTATAAAGAGGAATAATTCGACAAAATTGGATCCCTTTTCAATCACGATATCTATATGAACTTCATACCTCGGCACACAGATAAAAACTACCGAAAAGTTGATGTATTCCCACAATGAGGATGATTAGCTAATCTAGTTGTATTAACACATTGGCCGTTCTTCATCAAGTATACATTGTATCATCCTTAGATATCCAAAAGTGAAAGAACAGATAAAAGGCATTTGATATTGCATGTATCCATTTGGAATATAAAAACTCGGTTCTCAGACGTAAATCAGAATCGATCACCATTAGTCGCATAAAAATGATAATGGTTTATTTTTGTGCTGCGGGTAATTAATACTGTGAATACCCAGCTTATTCATATTTTGTGCTCATATGAGTTTTACCAAATACTTAATCATATGAAATTAAACAAACACTAGTATTTCCGTTTGTATTGTCAATAAAAATAATGCATTACCTTGGTAAATACTATCTTAATGGAGAGCTTATCTTTCTTTTGGTGTACTACTATTTGTACCAGTCTACGGTAGGTTCAGAAATGCTTTTATTCTGAGATATATTTATATACCATTTTGTTTTGTATTATCAAAAGATTAATATCATTGCATTAAACATTAATCTGAAAGACACATTCATTTCTTTTATTGAAGTAATGCAGCTATAACAAAATAATTATATTACAATCCCTTAAACTACATGTTACACAAGATTGTAGTATTTGGGCTTCCCTGTTCTATATTGATTAGAGTTTGGTACATTTTTTGAATCTCTAAATTGCTATTTAGCTAAACGTAGCACAAAGCAATCCCCAGTAACAAGTTCCTCGGATATATGGTGAATTTCAAAGATAATGAAAATACTTAAAAAAAACCACCAATCAGTGATGAATTCACAAGAGCGTCAAGAAGTATAGGAGTTCAAACAACTAAGGTCCAACTTCTTATTTCGTGAATCAGTAATTGTTATTTTTGTAGTATTCTACTAATTATTGATAATGTTTGAAGTATGCTATTATATTAGAATGATTCATTATCTTTTAAAGAATTTCATTTCTTCGTCGAATGACCCTAACTTGACAATTAGTATTTATTTCAGTAATATTATGAATTAGTAAGATTCTGATCCTTACTATTCTTATGCTTGTTATAAAGAGTAAATATGGCATACTATGATATTGGGAAATGGAATAAAACAACTCAAATGTATTAAGCATCAGGAGAATCGTAGAGTATTCTCATACTATTATAAAGAAAAATTTCATGTACGTCATTTTAGTATCAATTGATTGACAAACACAGGTATTGATTTTGAACTCTTCTTTCATATTGATTGATTTATAAAATTTGTTTGTAGAGTAGACTAGAGCTGAAAGTAAACATCTTAACTTACTTCAGGTACATACGTTAGACAAATTTGTAATTGCTGTTCGTTATATTCCGTTTTACTATAATCACTTTATTAGTTACTACAATCGAAAGAAGTGTTATTATAGTGAATAGATAGGTTCATGAATATTGACTACTTTGCTAATTTGCTGATAAGCATTGTTCATCATATAGTATTACATCAGAATCATAAATGCCAGCAAGAAATTCATTCAAAAGTTCTAGCTAATCTGTGATACAATGATTTTGAGTAATGAAGTTTTGTAAAGGTTGACGCTATTCTTTGAAAAAAAAAAACCACGCTACTTATCATAGTCTTTAATTTCTAACAACAGTGTTGATTAAACATTTTACTCATCTTATGATTATTGAATGCTATTAATTCAGAGAAATGAATCAAGAAAGGAAACACTTATGCTAACATGTGCTCCACTTTGAAAATAGTTACTGTTGTTAAAAAATTTGTCATGAAATATTTATTTTTTCATTGTTGCCCCACGGAGACGTTCGTTCCAGGCACTGGTTAATTTATTAAAACTTTCCTAAATTGTTTCTACATTTATTGTTAGGAACTCTTACTGACCAGGAACGCCATATTTCCTTGGTCGATGCTTTTAAGTTTGGAATGCATTCTTATGAATTTAATCTGTTGCGTCACAGCAGTACAACTGACAGATGAAGTTTTATATATGGATAACAATGTTCCATAGCTATTGGTAAAGATACTTGACTTTCTACACCATAGGAAATCCTACAATTAATAATGAAAAAAGCAATTTATTTTCTAAGGCCATACGAGATCTTGCATCAATCATTTTCTTTTTATCATCTCGTACCTGCAACATCATAGCACTTAATAGTTTAGGAATTTTGATTGAGGAACAACAAAATCCAAATACTAGTAGAGCATACTTTTGGACTTCATTGGATCGTAAAATATCATTTAGGTACCCAAGGCTAACTGGACTTTTAACCAGTACTTTTCTAATGTTCATGAATTACTTTTACATAAAGGTTGTATATCGTAAAATTCAGGATTTGTGAAATAATGTGATAAATTTCATACTAACGACCATGGCTATAAATAAAGTCAGCCTTAAGAGTATAAATGAGAGAAAACGTATAGTATAGCCGCATATAAAGATTTCAATGAAATAGTTAGTGCATGGATCTTAAACGATTGGATTGAGACTATTAATTTTTAAAGTTATTTATAGATTAAAAATAATGATTGAAACTCTCTAAAGTAAACAACTGCAAACGAAGTATTATAATATTTGTTCAATTGCAAGGGCAAAAGTCATAATCACATAGTGATATATAATAATGTGGTTGATTGAACTTCCCCATGTGCTACCAATATGATAACTTTCAATATTAGTTCATTATTACAGAGTTATATCTATCCCAAGTTGCCGTAGAGCTATTCATTATGAAGTTATCAAAGTCATTGGTTGCTGTATATGCATTAATTGGCGTAAATGCCATTGATCCAACAACCACACTTGCGCCAACTGATTTCAGGGTGAATATGATTGAACTACAGGCCTATTTAGCCGACATTAAAGGCCACATGATGCAATATCTAAGTTTCCAAGGTGCTCATCCTGATCAACCATACCCAAGTCAAATGATTGGCGCTGTCATGTTTGGTAACACTAGCCCATTGTCAGAGATTGCACCAGAAACTATCACAATGATGATTACAGGTGTCCCTTGGTATAGTGAGAGATTGATCGGTGCTATTGCTAGTAGACTTGCTGATGAAGGTATTGCAACGGCATGGCCTACCTCTTCATCTAGCACCAAAACTACTACTACTATGAGTACATCAAATTCATCACCAACATCAATTAGTTCATCAGATTCTACTGCGTCTTCTGATTCAACTTTCTCGTCTTCTGTTTCTTCTTCCTCTTCCACTTCTGTTACTTCTTCCACTTCTGCTTCCTCTTCCACTTCTGTTACTTCTTCCACTTCTGCTTCCTCTTCCACTTCTGCTTCCTCTTCCACTTCTGCTTCCTCTTCCACTTCTGCTTCCTCTTCCACTTCTGCTTCCTCTTCCACTTCTGCTTCCTCTTCTACTTCTGCTTCCTCTTCTACTTCTGCTTCCTCTTCCTCATTATATGTGTCAGCTTTGTCTTCTGTATCAGCTTCGAGTAGTCCCTCATCACATACTAGTTCAGTAGTTGCAAGCAACTCATCCTCATTCCCTACATTAATGAGTACTGTCAGCTCAACAGAAAGCGTTACATCTCATCAAGAGGCTTCTTTGAGCTCTTCAGTTACCATATCGAGTTCTTCTGTGGCTTTGACATCAAAACAAACCAGTTCTCAGAATTCTGCTTTTGCAAACAAGACAGTATCAATTCCTTCACCATCAACCAGTATATTCACTGACACTGTCGGTAAAACTATAACTAAGGTTATCACATATTGCTCAGAAACCGACAATCAAGGTAATGTAGGTACCAGGACTTCAAGTTACACTATTGACGCTTCAAATGCAAATCTTGACGCTACAGGATCTTTAGTTGTATCACGTGAAACTACAACAAAGTCACGGCGTCAAGATGCTAGTGAGGCCATCACAGGCAAATCTCATTCCCTAACATCTTCTGTTTCTGTAGTTGAGCTACATTCGAGCGCTGTAATTTCTCAATATGCAGGTTCTGCTGCCAATTTAAGTTGTTTGAGTAGAATTGGAGCTTTAGCTACCTTGTTAGCTTTATTGTTGCTAAGCTAATGAACAAAATATTTCAGTACTATACCTCATTTTCTTTCCGATTGTATCAAATCACCAAAATCGAAGCATCGCAA